CCCTAACCCAGTAAATGTGCCTAATGGCGCTCTTACACTGACACAAAACTCCTAAACACTTTCAGTGTTAGGAGTTTTCAGCAAGTTTTCAGTCCTGCATATGTGAACACAAAATGCCAAATCGTTCAAACCAAGTGTACCTAGACATTTTCCCGGCAGCCTCCTACTAGACTGTCCAAGTGAAGTCAGAGTGAGCTGAAATGCTTACCCAGCCGATCGACTGTGTGCATGTGATTTCAATGTAATGATATAGAGGCAAAAGATTCTCAATATAGCGTGGACTACAGTGGACTGAACCGACTCAGAAAGATTTTCTCCCTGAAATGTTCTAGAATTTTTCAGGAGTGCATACAGTGTATGTGAAAACGTCTTCAGTTAGCAAACAATGATGTGTCAATGTATATGGTCCAGAAGCAAAGGAGCTTCAGCAGATGGAGCAGACACACCTGCAAAGCAACTAGATGCAATCTAATTAGTCTCATTATCTGCTTGGTGCTCAATTTGAAAAGATAACAATTTTAAGAGTCAGTTATGGGAGGCTATATGGAACCTATAACTTAAAACACTTCAAAGCAGGTCCTCAGAGATCCTAGAAATACATTCAATATTTTAATCCCAGAGCTATGGCTGTTGTGAACTGCACCATAGGTCAATTGTCTATAACAAACTGTCATCACAGCTTTGCAGCAACATCGATTCTGTAACATCTGCATCGATACATGTCAAATAATTTTTCACATTATGTTACTCTCATTGCTTCAGTTTTTTTGTCCACAGTTTGTGTAAGGTCTAAAGAACACTTAAGGACACTAAGTAAGGAGTAAAAATGTCTATCTCGCTCTCTAAAAGGTCTGGAGGGCCTGTTTCACCCACTACATCTCGTCAGCCAAACATCTGCTCTTGACTGAGACAAGACAGCTCAGCATGCTCTCAGAGGACTGACACGGACTCATCTGACCCTTACTGAAATTAAGGTACAAGGAAATAAATAAATGATTTAATAAAGTTTGCTTCCCTCTCACACGGAAAACAAGAGATCTTCTCATGAGATGCTCATGACAGACATGGGGACAAATGCAGAAAGAAGGGGGCCATGTAATTTCTGAGCAAGACTCTTGGCAGTCTGGCAGAGGAAGCAGGCTGCACCCTGACGGACATGTGAGGGAGGCTTAAAATCCCATTAGAGCCGATCAAAATTCAAAGGGAAGCATGCATAGCCTGCCCTCAGAAAAAAAATCTATTCCTGTCCGCACTGAGTAGATGGGCAGAGATGGGCTAAATTGAGACAGTCTATTTTAGTAGGAGGAGAGTGAGGGGTGGGACAAAACAAGTGGAGGGGGGGGGCGGCACAGAAGAGAGAATAGCCTTTAACTTGTATCTTTTTTAAGAGACACAGCATCCCTCCTGTAAATAGTGCGTGTTTGTTTCCACGAGTAAATTCCAGTGTATACACATGCCCTTTTTGGAGGCAGTGAGCTGTGGACAACAACACCAAACCTCTCCATGTGGGATGCTGCACTACAGTTTTTGTCATTCAGCTTCGTTAATCAAATGCAGAAATGTTAAAATGCAAAGGGTCTTGCTATTATGGAGCACCGGACTGCTCTCACACACGAACACGCAGGCACACAGTTATACAGGCAAAAGCGTGTGTGAACGCACTGGGGGTGGTTTCTATACCACTGGTCAAACTGAATGAAACAAATTCTTACACAGCAGCACAGTAGGAGCAGTCAGCCATAAAGGAAGAAGGTTTAACAAAACAACACTCTGAATAGATCCACAGGGTACTAAATTGGGTCCTTTCACTTTCTCGCTGTCGGAGTGGCAGGTGTGTGTGTTTGTAAAACCGTGGAGGTCTTGTTTCAGGAAGCAAACGGCCTCTCTGCTCCGTCAACCTCACTGTTTGCTCAGAGATGATCAGGCTGTGTCGTCTGCAGTCCCTCTCTCTCCTCTCATGTTTGCCCCTGTTTTCTCACATCAACTGAGACTAAAGAGATTAGCAGAGGGAGATGAAACGACTAACGCCTCTGCCAGCCTCCATGCAACCCTTTCCCATGCCAGGACTTCCTCTCAAGTCTTTCTCTCACTGCCATCTCTTCATTCCTCACTCTCTTTAATCACACGGAACTCCAGAGTTTCTTTGCAGTCGTTCAGCTAAAAGGTTGGGGTTTTAAATTAGAGACAAGTCCTTTTCTTTGGTGAAGAGAGATGAGGAGAGTGTCAGGAAGGCCAGGCAATATTACTCCACACAAAGCTAATTACATTTGACTTGGCAGCCAGTCTTAAACATGGGCGCCTGCACTCTAAAATACTCATGTATTTCTTTACACAGCAAGGAGAATCTAACCTAGAAAGATGTTGGCAGGCACAAAGAAAAGCCGATTTTCCCATGTTTTGTAAACTTAGACCAACAATCCTAATCAACCAATGCCTGCTTTAAAAAAACTACACAATGTGATTCCAGAAAGCTTTTAAAATACTTTTTTTGGTTTTGGTCCGAATAGATCATGTTTCATCTTGACACACTGTACAAGGTGAATTTTTTGACTCATCAGTTTGGATTTTATGAAGGGTAAGAGTTATGCTGAATTAGGGAGTGACTGATCAGACTGCAAGTGAGAGCACTGTAGCTGTTCTTCAGGGGGCTTAAAAAGGCAGTTAGCATAGTCTAGCGTTGCTTTTGTCTGCTGGAAACTAAATGGCATTCTATTTCTACTATCCCAAAAGTAAAAGAACAAAAATTGGGCAAAAAAGCGCAACTAAGTCCACAGCTTGAAACTTTTCTTGGTAATGTGTTGGACTATTTCTTGGCTGGTTGTGGTTACTTCTTGAAGTGTTGTCATTTATGTCAGGTTGTTAATCAATTAGAAAGAAACCCACTTGTATAGGGAGGAGCATACTGTATAGAACTGTAAATCATGATTAGTAAATGAGTTACTAATTTTGGAGACACGAGACACCCACTGTTTTTTTAACCTTGGTTAGTGTAGTTTTTTTCTGCAATTTCCTGGTTGAAGCTAGATATCTAAATAAGTCAGTTTCTCAAATTGCTGAACTGCTTTTAAAGAGAACATGTTTTTTTTCCAACCCTGGGGCCAACCTAGAAGGTCCTCTATGTGATCATGAGGGGCAGATAATTTTTCTGTTAATTTTGGGTTGCCTATTGTGCATACAGTGTCTCAAGCTCCGAAAAAAAAAGTTGGGTAGTGTCACTTTAAAGCTTCAACTAAGCCAGAGTCATCCATCGGTCAGTAAACAGTAATAACACAAGTCTATAAATAGTAGCATCACTCTAGTCTCAGTCAGCGGAGATAACATTAAATACACATGACATATTGATGAAAGAGAGGTTGTGTTTTTTTATAGACTGGTCTTCCCTATCAGGCAGACCCTCCTGTTTACATCTGTCACAGGGGACTCCAGAAAGTAGCACTCTGCTTTCTTCATTAACCATTCAAAAGCAAATGTAGTCTATACAATAGGCTGAGAGTAACAACCTAAATAGACCAACTCATCTATTATACATACATTCAAGGCTTTCTTTGGCTCTCAGGGGAAACTATTTACAGACACAAACGCAACATGTATGCATCCAAATCTGAGGAAACACTGATATAAATAATCACAAGTGATGCAATGTGTGCATTTTTAATAGGAACTATATTTAAAAACGGTGACCGTAAAGACTTGATCTGATTTGGTGGAAAAACAAAAAGGTTTCATAAATCTTTCAGAGACATAATCTTTTTTTTTGAGCATTTAAAATAATCTTTCCTTTATTCCTACACCTGCTGTTTCATCATGTTCTGCTTCAGTCTGAAATGCATCGACCTGATGTTAACTTCACAACTCTTTTGCTTTTCTGCTAGTAAATTGCAAGTAATAACACCTGCACACCAACCACATTAAACACACACACAGACTCAAAAAGTCGTGATTTGTCTCTGTTCCATGGATCTACAGTCATAGGTTTAGTATTCCTATAAAGGTCTCTTTTCAGTAGTAGGTTTCCTCTGATTTTATACACACAGTTACCCACTAAACATAACAAAACAGCCACCTACAAACCCAATCTTTTACTCTATGAGCCAAAACAAAATCTTGAAATAGGATGACTCACCAAAAGGATTTAAGAAGAAAAAATCTTGACTCTTGTATCTCAGAACTTATGCATATTTCAGAGGATAAAATGCACATTATGGATTTTTAGTAGCACTGAAAATGAAATCTCACATTTCTTTTTCGGCATGTTCACTCAGTCAGGCTTAAGAGCCTTGTCGTGTCTGAACCGAGCTAGTCTACTGAGTCACACTAAAATTAAAGAACCGCCCAAGCTGTCTGATACGGCTCTGCGTTAGCTTCTTGAGGGAAATGCAAGCCTGTTGGAGACAACAAGAGGGGAAAATGATTACATGATCCCCATAGTAACACTACTGATAGAGCTTTATGGGGGAAAAAGCCTGTCTATAATAGGGTGGTGTGAATAACAGTGAGGAGAGAGTGGATGTAAGAAGAAATAAGAAAAGCAAAGAAGACTAATAGAGGGGAAAAAAAGTGAACTCATTGCATTTTTTTAATAAACTATCAGCTCAAGAAAATATAATAAATCGAAGTTGGACTTTAATTAAAGGCACTGATGAGGCTCACACACATACACGTGCACTGTGTGCTTAAACTTTCACAAACAGTAAAGAAAGGGGAACTAATACTCTGCAACAAATCCCCATTATCCAAATGTCTTTTGCTTTTGTCAAAATTCATCCCTTTGTTTCTTTACAAAAAGTCGAGTTACATTTTCCAGACAGTGAAGGCATCATCTCAATCTTTATACAAACTTCATCGAACAGTCTCATGTTCTGTGTGCGATACATTTTCCATTCTGGAGACAGTTTTTGCCCCCCCATCACGGAACAATCACCACAAGATCGCTAAAGGGTTGTGTTTGTGAGTATGTGTGCATCTCTTCTTTATGACAAACACTCAGGTTTTCTTCTTACCCTTATTCTCCTCATGGCTGCCACTATCTCCATTCGGCTGTTGGGTCTGGGCACGTCAAGACTCCCCACATACTGTAAAAAAAAAAAAAAACAAGCACACATACAAATGTTAGCACACAAAATCCCACATCCCACATGCACAACACATTTTCTACAATTACAAGTAACAAACTCATAGATATTGCTTCTTTATCTTTAATAGATTAAAGGACAAAGTCATAAACTGCATGGAAGAAGTGGGCGTAGCCACCATGACACCATTAACTGCTTTGAGGATGTCTGTTTTGAAGCATTGAGTTTGGAGTGTTGGCCGCCATCCCATTTTTTAGAGCCAGAAGTGACCATCGTTAACCAACAAGGAAGAAATGCATTACTACATATTCCTGGTTGACAGGTTCCCATGGTAGGAACACATGTAGCTGCACGCTAAAGCATATCCAGTTTTATCGTCAATTTTACACAAATTGGAGCCATAAATTGAAAAACTAACATTAAGCTGTGTATAGCTTAATATAAAAAGACTAAAAACTAGTGATTGAGAATACAAACTCATTAAGTAGGTAATAAATCAGTTTATTTCCTCATCTGTTTTTTTTTTTTCAAAGTAGACTTTCAGCAATTAGTGCAATTGCCCCCTGCTGGCCTTTGGGTAGAATGGAGGTTAAATGCACTTCCACATTAGCGACAGAGGCTACATCCAGCTTTAAACTCTGGTGCTGAATAATGAAGCCAATTCAGAAGTGCAAAAAAACTGCAATTCATTGAGTGTCCACTTGGGGCTGGCTCCGAAAGACCCAGAAGTCCCATACACACCCCATATTAAAATGTCCATTCTGACAGCAGAAATAAAGAGCCTGGTACCAAAGTCATCTGTATTACTATAAGTAATACAGATGACTTATAGTAGAAGTCATCTGTATTATTTTTATGATATGACTGATATGACTGCTAGATTGACCGAAAGTTAGTTTGAGACTTTCAATATGGTGAAGACTACGTCCATATACAGTCTTTGGATAACTATGGGTTAATGTAATTTCTTTGGGTTTTTTTTTTACAAAATGTGGGTGGGGTATTACCTAGAGTCTTGTTTTGGTAGAAAGGTTAAATATTATTTTATTGCTGGTATTGAGTTTTTAATGCAACAGTATGCAAAAAGTGGTACTGTTTGGAAGTTTTGCAGTGTTGGAATACAAATCACTATCACTAAACACTAAATAAAAAACCTGCCTGAGACTGACTTTGTTCAGGCCTCTTGCCTGGTCTCACCGTTTTCTTCTCTTCTCCTCTACACTTCTCTTTAATCTCCTCACCTCTGCTGCTCATGATGTTACTGCTGTGAATACAATGCTAGGACAGGTAACCAGTGGTGTTTGCCTTCGGGGGCGTCCTGCCTAAAAGCTTTGCCTTACTTACTCCCAGGAGATTGTACCCGCTCAACCGAAGTTACATTGTGCAACAACAGGTGTAAAAGAAGGGCACAGAGTGGAATGGAAAGATAAACCATGCAATAAGTCAGTGCACCATGATGTTTGTTTTGTGAGTATTTGAATTACATTGTTTTAATGGTAGACTATTTATTTATTTTTAAATAAATGTGGTTACTATTGCTTCTCTTTAAAGAACAAAACACGTTTGAAAGACTGCACCAAGGACTTGTGTTTGCATTTTCAGAAAGTCCTTTCTTTTTCCTTCTTTAAATTTGCAGCTGTGTAATTAAGAGGCTTGCTTTACAACTTAATATTTATTTGGAATAGCAAATTTAGCAAACAATATTTTTCAGCATTGTTTTTCTCATGAAATCTGAATGTTAAACTTCATATTCTAAGAAATAAAAGGTAGTGCATTGATGTTCATGAGGTTGTGCCGTCGCTGATTAAGGTCATTTGAATGCCTCCTCAAAACGGATTCAGAAATGCTCAATAATAGAATGAACTGGTAGGAAGTAGGAACTCAGCGACACTTGTTTCACTTAATTTGGGCAATTAAAACGACACATTTAAAAAGTTATTTGGGTTTTGTTTTGTGCCAAATACAATGAGACAACTTAATATATCCACAGGACTCGGAGGAATATAAAAACACATGTGTGAAGCTGCCATGTGTTCAAACTTCAGACACCAGCTGAAAGGCTGAAAGGCTCCAGCGCACCTGCCACTCAGCTCCGAAACAACACAATGCAACTCCCAACTGACTTTGCGGTAAAAAGGCGGCAGGGAAGACAACAAAAAAAGAAAAGAAGAAATATGTTTGTTTCACCTTGGCTTGGAAAGAAATCCCATGCTGGTACGCCTCCTCATTGTGGAGCGGAATCCTCGAGTCCGCCAAATCGTCCACCAGGTTGTACCTGTTCCTCGCGGGCATCACGGGCTCAAAGCGACCGACCGGCCCACGACCCTTTCTTTCCCCCACGAGACACTAAACACTGTTTAACAAGTAAACAGACAAATGTGGTCCGGCTTTGAAACGCTACAATCCCATGAGAGTGTGCAGCTGGGCTCCAGGAGTGAGTTCCCAAAGGAAACGAGGTCCATTGTTGTTGCGTTGAGCTTCAAAAAGGTCCCGTCCTCAAAACAGGGACAGATTTGAGTTGCCCCCTTTTTTTTCGCCCTGAAATCCACCGAGAGACGGGTAAGGATTTAAACAACAACAACAACAACAACAACAACGTGGAGGGTATTTATCCCCAAAGCCACGAGGGATATCCAGCGTAACAAGCGGCGTTTCTCTCCGCAGGTGATGTTGCTTTCAGTGTGTGTTATGTTTTTGGCAGCAACGCTTCAACCGTCTCTCTCTCTCTCTCTCTCTCTCTCTCTCGCTACACCTCTCTCTCTCTCTCTCTCTCTCTGTGCACAGAGCACAAAGCGAGCCCCTCATTGGAGCAAAGTTCCCAGGCATGATGCAACCCAGAGCCGACACACATGCGAACACCCCCCCACCTCACCCAACCCTCTCCAGGGGGGTAAAAAAAAAAACATTCCCTTGTTCCTGGGACTGAGGTGACAAGGTTACTGAAAGGGAGAAATGAAACAGAAAGACGGAGAAGAGCTTCAAAAGATTCTTTAAAAAAATATTTCTAATGAAGGTATAGGTCTTTGGCTACTTCAATCTGAACCTTTAGCCTATTGTTTTATATTTTACTGCTCTCTCTGTCCATCTCCTGCAACTACTTCACAAAATGCTGTTTGGTAGTAACATGTTCAGATGATCTAATTTGTTTTTTTTTATTCATAAGGAACACTTTACTATGGAACAAAAATTGCACTTTTACTACGCTGCATCTACTGTAGGCCTATACAGCTGCTTCTACATACTACAGTAAATTCAGCCCATTCACTTACCGGTAATAGTGCATTATATTTCAGTATTTGATAGAATCAAATAGAAAACAATAATGCAGTGTTGGTTAGTTTTAGTTTCAACCTTCTAGTGCTCCATACTTGTTAAGACATTATAATAATCAAATTAAAATGATAAGCCTAACTCTGACAGTGGGGCCATTCTGCAAAATAAGTTCCCTTTTTTTTTTTAGTCAAATGATCTACACTTGACTGCAAGTTCGATCAAAACCTACAAGAAACAGAGTCTTTATACTCTGATTCTGTTTGAGGAAATGATCCGAGTACTTCTTTAAACCTTCCCAAACATGTCTCAGTCGGTATGAATTTAAGAATTTGAAGAATTACCTAAAACAGTCTGCAGAGTGCTGAAAAGTGTCTCTGATTATGGATGGATGACTACTGCTCATAAAGTGGATATGTAGAAGTGCTGGTTCTCGTAACACTCAGCCTTTATCAAAGTTGTTGTCTCGTTCATGCTGAATGATATCTGTGCAGGCTAATAACAAGTCTACAGGTGGAGCCTATTCCCATAAACACAGTGACTCTTAAACGAATAGAAGCAGTAGTGGTGGTTATAAATAAAATAATCAATTGGGGTTAAACAGCCTACTAAAGGAAACACTTAGGTGTATGGGAAATAATGCAAGGGCGCCCTCTGTTGGTTACCTGCTGTACAATTACTTGCTTTAAAATGTAATCTGTACAAAGATTGGATGTATTTCTTATTGGATGAATAGTATTTGTTAAAGGCAGGTCTTTGTTTTTGATGATGTATTACAGACAAATACATTTAATCTATAAAAGACAGAGGGAATCTATAAATCCCACTAATCTGCACTGAAAGGGCAAGAAAGAAAGATTTAAAAATCATAAACTTTATAGGCCAGAGAAGGTGCTACACAAAGGAGGGATAATAATGGCATGAAGCAGTTTTCATTCAATTGAAAGAGCTGGTGACAATGACCCTAAAATAACCTTTAACACATCTAAGGTTTGTCCCTCTGATTCACAGATAGTCACTGGTTTAATGCTCTTACTGTCGTGGCTTACAAGGAAATAGTTTGACTTTGTGTAATGTAACATTACAAATAAAAAACTTCAGTTGTCTGCATGAAAAAGCAAGTAACAGGAGTGTAACATATGAGGGAGCGTGATTTGTTTGTTAACATGCCCAGATAGAAAAGATCCCGAAGAGAAAATACTAAAAGACCTCCAGAAACACAGAAAAATGAAAATGAATCAGCATCTTCTGAATACATGATCTTTAAAAGAGAGCACCCTGGAATTCTTAATTGTGTATTCAACTCACAACCTGCAAATGTTTCAACCAAGAACTACGACTGAAGCCATTTTGGTAGTTCAGTCTTCTGGGTTATATTTAGTCTTTCAAAATCAGGACATTATACAACGAGTAGTTTGATGTTTTTTGAATGGACAGGTCCGGGAAAGAGAAGACATATTTGTTTCAGGTTGTAGAAACACTGATTAACATTCTTGGATCAAAGATTAAGACGTCTAGGCCGCAGTTTATTTGACAAAGACACAAAGACAGAAACAGGGAGAAACAGGAAAGGCTTTTTACAACAGAAACAAAATGTGCTTCGCTGATATTTATTATTTAGACATGTTATCCATCTTTAATCTGAATGGAGAAAACCCAAAGGTAAAAAAAAAAAGAAAGTTTTTACAAGACGGTTACTGAATGTGCTGAAATTTTACAGCTTTTGGTTATAGGGCCCAACTTTTCCAAGAAAAACCAATAAATGTAATATTCTCCAGAAGTCCAACTATTCCTTAAAGTCCAACTAGATTCCATTTAGTTTATGTTATTTACTGATTATACAACTTTATGTTGGAAAACCAGAAACTCCATCAAACAAACTCTTTTAAAGGGAGATCTTAGGGGGAAAAGATGTGATATATGTGGCACAGTTTTTTTTGGGGGGGGGGGGCTTTTTGTGTCTTTATTGGAGAGATAGGACAGTGGATGGAGCTGGAAATCAGGGAGAAAGAGAGAGAGTGGGGAACGACATGCGGGAAAGGAGCCACAGGTCAGAATCGAACCCGTGCACGCACCAACCACTGTGACACCAGCGCCCCATGGCACAGTTCTTTTTAAGCAGACTCTTGAATTTAACTAAGCTTGTGTCCTGCTGAAATTAAAATTTGGTCAGCATTTTTATTGCAAATAAAAACATGGATACAGTAGAAGGGTTTACTCCTCAGAACATTTTTGATTAACAATGTCAGACGGCTCGCTGTACTTTTAATGGAGTACATGACTAACTGTACAGGACAGGCTGTCATCTATCTATTAGCGATGCCTGACGAGAGATATCCAACCGGCTGTGTCAGAATTATCTGACGGCTTTCCGTTTCGTCATCTCATTTTATCAGGCGCCATGAAAAGCGAGTTACGAATAAAGAGCCTCGCTTTGGTGACTCAGAGTTCAGCAGCAATTGAAGCAATCATCCGGAGATAATTTAGAAAACAGCACTCACACACACACTGATTCTGGGTGAGTGTGAAGGAACACATCAAGTGGCTCATTGAGACACTGAAGGCTGAAAAATAATTAGGTCAATTCTTTTTTTTTTAAACTCAATCCGAGGACTTTAGCCCCTGTTCATGGGGCTAGTGACATAACCACCAGGCTATCAACACTCCCCAATTTGGTCAATTCTGAATGAAAACTAAAAAAGAATCAGTACAAAGATGGCTCTAAAGCAATAGATGGAAACCTAATGATTTCCCTTGCAGGTTGGGACCTCAGTGTAAATGATCTGTTTTCAAGATTTTTCATTTCAAAGTGTGTTTTTCAGAATATGTTAACGTGTTGAGCTCAAGGTGCTGCTGGAGGAAAAGTCAGGGAGAGGCGACCCAACAAAACAAAAGTCTCCGACACCGTAAAATAGTAGCAAGTTTGTTTAATTCACAAACTGACGACAGGGTCAGGATTCACATCACATCATACATTATACACATATCCCTTACAGCCAAATATGCACTCTTCAAAGAAGAAAATGGATGGGTGGTCGTGCACAAGGAGATTAGTGTTTATTTGAACATCTCATCTAAACTGTAGTGTAAGAGTGTGTAGTGTCCGACTGTGGCGTACCGCTGGTGTGTGTGTGTGTAGTGTTTCGCTAGTGAACGCTGGTTGTGCACGTTGAAAAAAGGGAAGCATAAGAAATGCTTTCCCATCATCTCAAACGAGAGTTATTTATATATGATCTAAACATAAACAACTTTGTTTATATGCATTGTTGTGTGATACCTGAGAGCTGTGTGTAATGTCAGAATGGTTCTGTCAGTCACTGATGAGAGACGGAAACAGCTGTAAGAGGTACGTGTACACAGTTATTCCAAAAAGCATCCTTTTTTTTTTCACAACAACACAACAGAGGCAAGGCAACTAAACAACACAAATGGTACATTTGAGACCACTGCATACCTCGTTTGACTTAAAAGGCAAACCATGGCTCTGTTGATTGATAGGGAAACAGACCGATTAGTCCCTGAAGCGACACACTTCCTCCTCTTTACATTTGAATGGGTTTTGGTAGAGAGTACTAATTAAGACTCGTTTCGGATAAAGCAGATTTTCAGGAACAAGAAAAAAAGAAAAAAAAGGTTTCACATGTAAACAGAAAGGAAAATTTGCATTAGATCACGTAACACAAACTCGTAACTTGGCTACTGGCTATTTGATCTGAGAGAAACATGTGAAAACAAGCTGCGTCATGTGCTGAAAAGCTTTCAATATTTTCCCCTCAAATGATGCTACTAAGAGTTTAGTGCACACATGCCTGAGCTTAAACAAACTGGAAAATACAAATGAATTAAAGCAAAAAAAACAAAGCAAAGTTAAACTGTCTTTATCTTTGGGTTTTGAGGATACATCCCCAAATGTTGAAATAAAAAAAAACCACAATAATGCCTTTTTTAAAATCATTTCAGGCTTAAATTCCGATTCGTGTGCACACAGCAGGTTTAAAACCTCAGTACTAAAATCCCTTTTTCTTTTCTTTTGTTTTAAGAAATCAAACAACTACACTTCTCCAATGACTAACGGCAGATTTTAAACATTATGTTCTCCCCCTAAACTAACCCTTGTACAAAACAACCACAAGACCAATCATATTAAACTCATGAAGCCTGCTAGCATGCAGATACTCATAAGACTCGAGTAAAGGGGAAAAAAATCGAGGAAACACTTTCAGTTATTTACAGATTTGTGCTGTAATTGTCAGTTTGAATACTTTTTTTTTAAAGTCAGGCATTTCCCCACAATTAAAGATGTATCTAGCCTTCTTCAGAACAATTCAAAAGGATCAATTTATCACAATAAAACAAATACCGTACCGTAATTACACACTGGCCTTTTTATGTCCTTAAATATCGTGCTTTGTCTAACTGTCTAATGACTGAACTGAAAAGCTCAGATATACTTTCTTTTGCAGCACTAGTTTTAACTGCTACTTTTGTTTACTTTAACTGCAAAAATTTACCTTTTTTTTCATCCTCTTTGAAATATTTATACATTCCTAGCTGGTGAAAAGATCTTACATGAAACGTTGCAGTGTTAATTATTAAATAAACCTCAATGCTACACACTGCATCCTCTAATTTAGTCAGCTCTTTTCACACTGAGTTACCTGAAGTCAGTTATTTACATTTTACAATCACATTAATTTCTGTTCAGAATTCCTCAAAGGCTCTTGGGTGTAAAATAAGTACCTCACATTTTTCCCTGGCAGCAACTAAGGGGCAAATAATAAATACAAGAACAAGATTTAAAACATAAAAAAAAAAAAAAAAAAAAAACTTACAATCAATGCTAAGTGGTAACAATCTGCTTTACATGCCAGGTTTCTAATAAAGGACTGAATCCAACATCAACCTGTTTGGTTACCAGTAGGTCAGGACAACAAGAATGCAGCAGTGTAAGTACATTAATTCACTCAGTACCATTGTTTTTGTAGTGACGGAGGGGGGGGGGAGCATGGAGGAAGAGGTAGAATGGATGGAGGGAAAAGACATAAAGAGGAGGGTTTAAAAAGGCAGGTGCTTCACTCTGGAGCCCCGTTTGTCGTTCCCGTCATCCTCTCTTCATCCCCCTGTTTCTGGTGTTGAAGTCTGGCGTAGGTCACTGCGTCTCCCCTGACAGACGAAAGAAAGAAAGAAAGAAAGAAAGAAAGAAAGAAAAGGATGCGAGGGAGGGAGAGTAATAGAAGTTATGACGAGGGAGAGGTGGATAAAAAGAAAGGAAGAGCGTGTTTGACAAAAGAGGATGACAAAGTTAAGTGCAAGATTATGACACTGCTCAGTGCTCACCTTGTCAGGAGTTAATTTGTGTGAATTAAGAGGTTCATTAGGGCTGTTAGATTTTTCAAGCATAAATCAAATTATTGTTAACTGGTTATAATGTGGGATACTGATTTTAATAAGAGAGTCTGTTATAATACCTGAGGGAGACATAAACATAAGAGTAACACATTTACTCACATTCTGAAAAAAGGTGTAAAATCAGGAAAGAGATTTGATGATTTCTCTGACTCTTCATAACAGATTGCTTCATCATTGTAATTTGATCGTTTAAAAAAGGACATCTTACTTTTTGCCCAAAGACGCGAGGCCGTACAGAACTCCCGTAGCAAAGGCGATGGCATTTCCAAACAAGGTTGTAAAGGAGAAACTCAAGAAAACAGGAAACAGAGCCATCCTGAAAATGAAGCAACCGAGAGGACGGACGACACAAGACAAAGCAAAAGTCAGTAAGTCATATAAAGTACACGCTGTAGATAGAACAACCACATCCCCCCCCCCTCCCCCCAGAAAAAAATATGTCCTACAGCTTATGCAATGTTAATAACTATCTGAAATTCACATTCCAAAAGCTTAATTTTTTATACAGTCAAGTACAGTCTCCAATGACATTATTCTGAGTACAATGCATAGTTGTGCTCACCCGCAGTAGAAGAAGGCTTTCTGCCAGGGTTTGAATTTGTCTGCACGGGCTGCGACTGCATTAGCGAACTCTATGAACTGGCAACAGAACGGGACTTCACAGAGAAACAGCACGAAGGCGTTCGACCTTGAGACAGGATGAGAGGACACAAAGACCGAAGTGAATCAAACTGTGCAACTTCTGTCTCAAACACTGTACAGCTCTGAATCACACGATGGAAACCTGGAAACAAACACTGGCAAATGGGTAAAAAAAAGAAAGAAAAAAGATCCATCATGCATGCTGCCACTTCCATAATTCAATGTGTGTAGTTCACTCTTTTCAGAACATGAATCAATCAATTAATCATTATTTGTATAGCGCCGATTCATCACAAGTGTTATGTCGAGGTGCTTCACAAAAGAGCATAGGGAGATGGGATAGGATGCAGGAAGGATTTCTCCCTTGTACTCCTGGTGTTCCTGTTGTCCACACTTCCTTTGCCATTGAGGTGGAGGTCGGATCAGGCTGTGCATGAATGAGGACAGGGGTGGTTGTCGGGACGACACAGTCCAATGGTGGTGACTGGGGGGGGATCAGGGACGTCGGGTGGTATCAGCATTGTTTCCGGTGTTGTTGTGTTCCTCGGTTGTCCAAGTTTTTTTTTGTAACGTGCTTTATAAATAAACTTAACTTGGTAAATTTGATTAAGCTGTGATATCCTTCTGTTATTCTCAGATTATAAATTGTTTTACAAAGTCTCTGTCTAATCTATCAATGCGAGCAGTCACAGGGAGTTTCTGTAGCATGATCAAAAAAGACTTGAAATTTGGAGGAAAATCAAAGCAGTCTTTGGCTCAACATGTCCATGAGAAGAATTCCTCCACACCTCTGTCATCTGAGCAGTAGGTGTGGCCACATGAGACTAATGAAAGGGAATACTGTGACAGGGAAATGTAAACAAACACGCTCCACAAGTGCGTTACTCATAGGATGAATATGTATGACAAAAACTGATCATCTGCAAAGTAAAACTGACAACGTTGTAGCGAGCAAGTTGACATGAGCTTAATACAAAAAAAACATTATGTGTTCGGAGTAGAGCGAGATGTAATGTGGAAGCTTCTGATCCTGTACACTGAGATCAAATAGAAATGTCCAGGCTCACAGAATGTGACAAAGTTAATTGATGCTTGCTACGTTAAAGTAGGGTAAAAAAAGAAATGTAAGACTTACACCATCCAAACTCCTGCAGCGATATTTAAAGGGTTCACGGTGACGCAGTTCCACACTCCTGCGACGGCACAAGCTGGAGGATATGGACAAAAGATGAAGCCGGTATCAATAAAAGTACATATCTGACAGTCATGCCATTGTACAAAAAATAGTTGCACATGTAAAAATAAAAAGGGGGGAGAGGGTTGTCTAGATTTTATAGATCTGGCTATTTGTTTTAAAAGCTGTGATACCGTACTGAGTTTTCTTTAATGCTGCTCCATTACAGCAGGCTACATTAACCGATCAGTTAACATTTATACAACCTTTTGCTGAGGTTGTAATTGATGTATATTTTACAATGTTCCTCACACACACAGGGCCATTGGGACCTGTGTAATCATCCTTGGTCTAAACAAATTGTGTACACTGCAGCATGACATGAGCTAAAGGTAAAACATGCATCATTTTACTGGTCACAGGACAACTGACAGTGTGTTCACAAGCTGAGCAAAAGGTGTAAAATGTGCACATTATAGGGTGTAAATAATGTGTAATGGCAACATCACACAATGACTGTACAAAGGTGTGATCTGAAGTAATTAACACCGAATCAGCAATTAAAGACATTTCAGTCCTAGAAGTACCAAAAAAAAAAAAAAAAATTAGCGGATTATCGGAGGAGTGCCACTGTCAGGTCTTTGGTACTCTGTTTTCTGCCTGACTGACACATGGGGTAGAACAGCCATGCGATGCAACTAAAGATTATTTCTTGAATTTGTTTAGCATTTTCATGGTTTAGTGTGCATTGCACCATCTGGTTTTTGTCCCCAGAAGTTTTCAAAGAGCTCAATCCAACATCATTTTATAGTTTATTTGGACAAACCTCCCAAAAAAAAAAAACAAGTCCGAAAAACGAACTAATACTGAGGCAAAGAACTAGAATTGAAGTTTGAACCTTTGAATATAGATGCTGAAACAGCTGCTGATTAACGGACTAATCAAGAAGTCATCTTCAGCACAGCGTTGAACTCTATTTAGGTTGACAAATCTACCTAACCAAGTGTTAACTGTACTTTTTTTTTTTACTTTTATTACTAAGAAGACAGAGAGCAGCTTCAAGGGACACATTGTTAGACAACGTCACCAAAGGTCAAACCTGAGGGATGACGTAAAACTTCTGACAGCTACAGTCAATACTCTTAACGCAGGATAAGACGATCCTATCTGAGAGTCAACAGTGCACAGGAGTTTCAGTCTGAAACACCAGAGTGAGAGGAGAGAGCAAATATGCCTCGTGTCTCTGTGAACAGTCATGCCACACAAACAGTGGAAGCATCAGGTATTATACCCTGCTCCTTTAGACAACCCAGCCTCCTTAATAATACAGAGCCACATTGAATATGCAGCGTCCCAGGTGGTGAATGTGATACAGGCTGAGTGACTCTGGTGTCACTGTGAAGGAGAGACGGAGAGAAGGTCTGCAATGCTGATGGAAAAAAAAAAAAAAAAACTGCAAAGCCAGCAGCAGTCACAATCTCTTCTCTCTCACGGCTCCTGAGGGAAAAGATGCACTTGCTGTGTGATCACATTATAAAGTGAATCTAAAAAAAATAAATAAAACAAAAGATGTTGTGGAACTGGCAAGCCATGAAAACAGATTACGCCAATGTAAAACAGTGGCTGCTGCAGTGAGGGGACAAAGGGCTACAACAAAAGCTTTTTTTTTTTTGTCTAACCTGGGTAAGCAATGTTAATAGCAACATAATAAATGAGTTTTAAACACGTTTTTACTCCTACAATAAAAATTATCTTTCTGACCTATTTCACCCCTGATCCTCACATAAGTAAAGCTGAGGACACACTAAACAAACAAGTAGCTGAATACTCAATCACTTTAAAATGACAACAAAAATACACAACATGCAATGTATGTGCATTTGACTAGGCATGATTTAAAGGGTTAAATTACACACAAAATACAATTTAAACTACTTACAAATTCCTCCTAACACCCCGGCTATTTTGCAGAGCCATCGGTACCACCAGGTCATGCCATCATCATCGGGAGTGGGTTTAGTGGACGCTGCAGTCTCTTCAGAGCTCATTGTTTAGCTGTTAGCTGATGCTACCCAAATCCAGTATTTACAGATGTTAGCCTGAGGCGAAACGACTACACTAAGTTAGCTATTCTCAACAAAGGAACTGCTGACTATCTTATTCTACGCAACTCAGCAGGTCATATCAGTAACATAGGTCCGGTTGTTAACTTTTAAGGATCTTCTTTTCCCCCTTTGTCTGGGTCTGGGGCGGCTGTCTGATGTTGCCAGCGACTTTTCTCACAGCTTTCCCCCCCACCGGCAGTCAGAGCCAGCTAACCCGGCTAGTCCAAAACTACCTTTTAATTTTTAAAAAATTACCATAAAGTCCCTAATTTCAATAACTGTACACTATTCACCCGATTTGTTTGGATTTACGTAGCTGTTCCGTTGTTCTCCGCCTCGCCTGCTGGCTCAGACGATGACAGCGTTGCATTGTGGGAGGGCTTTCATCTGCGTCATATTTTGTTTACATGCAGTGTGTACAGGATGTGAGTACATCAGTGAGTACAGGATGTCTCACTCACTCTTATCTCATTTTATATTTCTGCAATAATTTTACATTTCATACTGTGCAATATTTCTTTTTATATTTCTGCAATATCTTACATTTCATACTGTGCAATATTTATTTTTATATTTCATACTGTGCAATATTTATTTTATATTTCTACAATATCTTACATTTCATACAGTGAAATATTTATTTTATATTTCATACTGTGCAATATTTATTTTTATATTTCTGTAATATTTTACATTTCATACTGTGCAATATTTATTTTATATTTCTACAATATCTTACATTTCATACAGTGAAATATTTATTTTTATATTTCTGCAATATTTTACATTTCATACTGTGCAATATTTATTTTTATATTTCTGCAATATCTTACATTTCATACTGTGCAATATTTATCTTATTTTATATTTCTGCAATAATTTTACATTTCATACTGTGATATATTTATTTCTATATTTCTGCAATATTTTACATTCCATACTGTGCAATATTTATTTTATATTTCTGCAATATCTATTTATATTCTGTTATGCTACTACCTGTAAATAACTCCTACCATACATTGCCCATCCTACCTGAATGAGAGTTCCTTTTTTAAAAAAAGTTTCTTCTTTTGTTGTTTTTAGCTGTGGATGCTTGTATGTGTGCAATTCAAGGTGAAGCCAAATAATTTCGTTGTACAATTGTATAATGACAATAAAGACATTCTATTCTATTCTAGGATGTAAACATGGTAATACTTGAATACATTTTCTCATAATAATGGAAATATACAAACCCAAATGAACCAGTGTGGCGAGATTTAAACGTTGTAATATATAAATTGATGACCTGCTAGTTGTGGCTTCAGGTCTCCATTAGTGCCCCTAATGTCTATTAGTTTAAAAAGAAAAATACATGCAAAGCTCATTTTTAAATATTATGAGGAATTTGTAAATATGTATTTTTTTTAGTATGAATTCCCTTTGAGAATTAAAATCCTTCCCAAAGTGGAGAATCCTCAAGTTGTCAAATACAACTGCATGAAAACTGGATTGTAAGGCTTACAACTAGCTTGTTGCCAATCAACTTTTTTCAGGAATTAAAAAATTGCATCCTGGCAAACTGGTTACACACCTTTTGCTGATTCTTTAGCACGAGTACTTTTTTCAACAGATAGAAAAAGTCATTGGGAGAGCTGCAAACTTACATAAACATCGTTTTTTTTTTTTACTAAATGAATTAACTGTAGTTAGGAGCTCCAAGATGTGAAAAATATCTGAATAAGTTTACAAATAATATTTTGAAAAAATTGACAGGTTAAAACTCACACAACAAGCACTCTGTATTTTGTCCGCACATCATTAGTTAAATGTGCTGCATTTACTGGTCGATGTGAACAGGAGGAATTTAGATATAATCGGGGCAGCTGATTGTTTAATGACACTGAGATAGCTGAAAAACAATGCTTTGAGGTGGATAAAACACAACTGATTTAATTCACAACCCTGATGAGCAAAGCAACAAAAATAATCTTTTTATCACAAGTAAATATTCCATTTATCTTTAATCACCCATTCACACTTCTATATACAACATAATCTTCTCAAAACACTTATTGCAAGAAAATCCATACTGGTTTATATGATGTTACAGCTGTGATTTTCTCACGGCAACCTTTCTACTGAAGTACAAACATGACTGGTGTTTTAAATTCCGGATAGAGACAGGACAAAAGTCAAACGTATAGAGGGACGTCTGTAAGTGCTTTGAAGAGGTAGATAAGGAATTTATCAAAGTCAATTCCAGCCAGTCTGTTGACTTTTTAACCATTTGTTCCAGGCTTTTTACTATAAAGCAGGCGTTTGGATGGCACACAGCTCCTATCACTCTAACATCAGAGTTGAATTTAGAGACTTCAAACTTCTTCTGCTTGTTCTTCTCTCCACTGTTATCGGTGACGGTTTCCTCTTCCCTGACGGTGTGTGGCAGAGCATGTCATCCAGGGTCTGCTGGGTCACCTGATTGGCTTGCTCCAGCCGAGTCACTATCTGCTCCACTTTCATCATGAGTGGTCCGTCCTCACTCTGACTGCGCATCATATCTATCTGAAAAGGGAGACAAGAGGCTGCTGAACTACACCCTTCAAAGTACTTTTGAAGTCACTGTTTTAATTATTCAGAGTTGTATCTCCACACAGTCACTTCGGATCAACAATCCCAGTAAAGGATACCTTAAACCTTTTGATTTTGAAGCGAGGTTTGCTATATTACTTACACAAAACCTTATAGAAATTCATAAACATCCTTCCCAGCACAAAAGTAAATTGAATGAACAAATTATCTGCCCCTCTAGCTAGCTTATCATTTTAAAGTTGTATTTATTTGTCCCCCCCCAAGTATAAGTCAAATCTAGGTTACTGAGCAAGATGTCTGACTTACCACCTCCTGAGAAAATTCAGGCTTCTTCACAAAAGACGGACTTCTAGACAACATGGCCGCAGACAGGATGGAGACAGCATCCATCAGTGCCCCTGACATTATCCGTAGTACAACCTGCATCACAATGAACAAGTAAAAGATGAATGATCTAACAACAGCCTTAATAAAAGGCCATCCTCAGAAACGTACTTGTTACAGCCTTACCTTTAAATTCTGGGATAACCTGCTGTCGGTGTTCATTATCCGAGAGTACAATGACTGTGCCTTTTTAATGTCATTCTTGAAAGTAGGAAGAGACAGAACAGATTATGAGTCATTTTTAACTTTTATTTTTGCAGCATATTTCAGATTCATGAAGGGAACAGAAAAAAGAGAATATAACCCACCTGTCTTAACGCTAATGCTACAGCGAAGCAGTAAGCATGTCTGGGGAGGTTGTTCCCCTTGGTCTGCCCCTCCTCTAACAAAGTGCTGCAGATCCTATAAGACTCTGGTGTGTTCTGACCAACATGAACAGAACAAAAAAAAATGACTGACTGTAAAGGTCATAATGTAATTTCCCCACACATCTAACTCTTAGGACTGCAATGTTTACATGCATTTATCACCAACATATATTTTACCAGTTTGTAGAGGGTTCCACAAGCCAGTATCATTGTGTCCTTGTTGAATATTATACCTTGGCTTTTCATGGTTCTTAGTACCTCCAGGGCATCTGCAAAAGCCAAAAAAAAAACAAAAAAACAAAGGCTTCATTGGCACAAACGTTTCAGACAAAAGCACCAAAATATAAGATGATAAAAAAGTTGGTAAACATATTCTGAGGAAAAGACTTGGAAGGATAATCTGTTACTTGCCTTCATAAGAGCCTTTTGTGAACAACATATCTATGGCGATGTTAAAGGAGGTCACGTCCCTGAAAAAGCCTCTCAGGTTCTGTTCAAACAGGGTTAGAGGAAATGTTACAAGTTCAAGTCTTCCCCTAAAACAAGGATCAACATTTCCTCTTGTATCCAAACTGATGGTGTTAATATAGCCACAGTTTAGTTATAGCTTAATCATGTGTTACCTTGTCTGTTAGTGTAGCAGCAGCCAAGTCCTCCATACCCAGCTCATAGCACTGTCTCATGAAGAGAGGCCCAAACTTAAAATCTTCAGGAAGCAGATTCTGGTTCTCTGAATGATACCTTTGTGAAAGCAAATCAAGGGATCACCTTAACACAGTTCAGCAGACATAACAACTCGTGAGGGCCAGATGCATTTTGAGGAGAATTGTTTTGCTAAGTAAAGTGCCTAAACCCTGAACACAAAGCAAACCAGATTATTAAAACCAGTACAAATGTTTTATTAATTCCTACATTTAATTTCTATGTTGTTTTTCAATTATGACTCACTGTCAGGCTAGATAGTAAAAGAAAGATACTGTTCATTCTCTATGTATTTGTTTATGTTATACCAAAAGCAATAACCTGAGCCCTGCCCAACACGGAAACTTGGGACAACCTGAGCAGCACATGAATGCAGCAATACTCTCAAAGTCCCCTTTTATGAGGACTTTAATGATTTTATTGAAGGGGTTTTGGAAGAGTGGCCTTGCCCAACTCGCAGGTTAAGATATCCAAATCTCTTTCAAGAAGAAGTGGCTAATTTAGACTAGAAAGAGAGGCAACAACCATACATTTGTTTACAATAGCATATTGCAATTAGACCTGTAAATATCAGACAACAACCTGTGGATGTTTACTATCACTGGGGTTATTGCAAAGAGACTGTTTCTGACACTGTGTGACAGAATCCATTTATAAGAGTGATGGAGTGTGAAAAGAAGCTGTTCCTTAATCTTGTTGATTTGACGTTCAGTTATTTGTGGCACTTACTACAATACAAAAACCCTGTTATGTTTACATAACTGATATTAGAGTTAATACTTTACCTGTGTATAGCATCTTTGGCTATCACCAGGTCATCTGCAGACTGGCACAAGTGAAGAAGAAGCTTCAGCTCGTCTCTTAATATCATCTCATTCCTTTGCAGCTTCTGGTGAAATAGCTCAAAATAATTTCCTGCAAAGTAAAGTAGAAACATGAGCTTTGAATAAACCTTAAACACATGATACAAAACGGCGGCTTGTATGCAGGGTCAAGAACTACTTCACCTTTTGATTTATCGGCAATGTGTGCCACTGCCAGCTTTCTCTGCTGGAAGTCTTGTAGTTTGATAATGTCTTCTGACAAGAGATGCCTCTTAGCTGCAAAAGCAAAGTTCTTTAGATGCCAAAAGTATGCAAATGATCGAGTGGTTAAAGCTGATGGCGATATAGTCAGAAATCACCATCGGGCAAAACAAAATAGTAAGAAAAGCTTCAAAGGCACACAGAGCAGTAAATTAACAACAGTGCAAGTAAACAAAACATTTTTAACCTCAATATAAAGTGTCAATTTAAATACAACTTAAAAGCTTAAACTTAACTTCAAAATACCAAAATATAAAAGAGTAGATATAAGTGGACAGTGATCGGACTAACAGATGTAAACAGAACTATGTGCAGTAAACGAGAAATAAATATATATATACAGAACTATGTGCAGTAAACGAGAAATAAATATATATAAACAGAACTATGTGCAGTAAACGAGAAATAAATATATGTATATACAGAACTATGTGCAGTAAACGAGAAATAAACATATATAAACAGAACTATGTGCAGTAAACGAGAAATAAATATATATACACAGAACTATGTGCAGTAAACGAGAAATAAATATATGTATATACAGAACTATGTGCAGTAAACGAGAAATAAATATATATAAACAGAACTATGTGCAGTAAACGAGAAATAAATATATATACACAGAACTATGTGCAGTAAACGAGAAATAAACATATATACACAGAACTATGTGCAGTAAACGAGAAATAAACATATATACACAGAACTATGTGCTAAGTTGGTGTAGCTTCTCTGACTTTTAACACGCCAGCTTAAATGGTCACATGTAGTATCAGACAGCCGGGTAGTCACGGAGTTTTTGTCGTATTACCTACTATGCAGCCTCCAATCAAACCAGTCTGTAAAACACCACAAAACAGTCCTTTAGAGGGTTCACGTACTAACCACCGACAACATGTAGATATTCTCGCCAGCGCCATAGTGCCCACTGACTGTACCATCCACATGAAAACAAAGGGGAGGCTACACCATCGATGTCGGTGGGATAGAGTTTAAAACGCTAATAGCTACCGAAAATATATTGAACCTTAGTTTTAAGTGGAATTAATTAATATGTATTCAATTCGAGTGGTGTATGTGCGTGTGGCTCTTTGTTTGTGTTTTTGAAATGCGAAGGAATCAATTGGTATCGTTCAATATGGCGGCGCCCTGTGATCCAGTGCAGAAATAAGTTGCTGTTATGCTTTAATTTACCATTTCTAGTGCCAGCGTCACTTGTTTCTGCTGCTTATTTTTTTGAACTCCTCGTTTCATATGACTGAAAAAAGAAAACCTTTTTTTTTTTTTATTTCTAAGCAACAGTGCTTCGACACCTTTCATCCTACAGGTGGTGGTGTTGTACTGACAACAACTTCAAACCTGTCTGCTGAGCTTCCTGCTGTCAGGATGCTTCATAAATATTTGGGAAACAGACGCTTAGACAATCACTTTTGGTAGTATTTATATATCCGTTTCGCATTCAATTAGCCTAACAAAGTTTTTATGTCCTTCCAAAGTTGAGTGAAATTAATTGTTCGTAAATGTTTCATTGTTAATAACCCCAAAAAGGCTTTCCTCGGATTGTTTTGAGCCTTTAAACTGGTAGAAACGACTTGTTATACCTTGCTATTAAATTTATCAATAGAAATGAATATAAAATGTTCAGTTTAAATTATATTAATGTTTTTGGTTTATTTGGGTAACTTTTGTTTCTCTCAAAAATAGTCCTTTAAGAGGATCTTCATTATTATTTGTAATTACGAGTGCTCAATCTTGTCTATTTTCGTATTCAAAACATTTTAACTTCTTAGAACACAGCAGTAAAAATATGGATTTAGCTTCATATTTATCTGAGTAATCGCTTCCATCAAGATAATTTAGGGTCTCCTCTGAATTTGGCACAAAAAATAAATAAATCCAAAACATGTTTTTTTAGATTAGTGTTTAAATGTAGTGACACAGTTATCAGGGATTCCAAAAGGTTAAACACAAAAACAACACCCAAAAACAATTTATTCATTAATCTATTAATCTATTTATTGATCCTGTTTATACTGCATGCAGTGTATTTAAAAATGACCTCCCATCTTCAGTAGTATAGGAGTCCTGAGAGCCAAACCTGCCATCCTGGTGTACCCGTTGACCTACAGCATTACATAACTAAGGACTTACTGTACATCCTTATGAAGGAGTTCTGCTGCATCGGCTCTGTAGTGATCAAGTTGTGATCATAAATTATTAATTCAGCTGTATGTGGAAATATTTTCATTTTCAGTTTGACCTCTTATAACTATGCAGATTTTCTTTAAAACTATGTTTAGTGTAAGAACTTAAATGGACTTTATTTAGACATGTTAGTCTTTTTTTTGTTTGTTTATCTTGCATAAATGTACACTATGTCGCACTATGTATTAGTGACTTTCATAATATGATTAAATGTCCTTTTTCTCGTTTCTCCATATAGGGTTTAACAGTAAGAAAGACTACTGTGGAAACTCATTGCTAAACCAACAGAATATTTGAAGACGTGAGTTCAATCCGACCTGCTAAAAAACATCACACTGATAAAGGGCCTTCCTAAATTAACTCCTAAGATAGACTATCTTAGCGCCGAGAGAAATAGGGCTGGGAAAGGGAGGTTCCTCACTGTTGCCTTGGCAACAACAGCTAAGCCCCATACTGCTGAGATTGCTTGCTCAGCCAATCAGACACAGGGCTGTGTATAATTTATAGTATCTTGCAAGGTGTGTGTGTCTCTGTTGGTTTCTCTCTCTGTGCATGCATATGTATGTGTTTGCATGTATTTAAAAACAGATTTTCCAGCATATAGCGTATCTATAGCTACAAGTTGATGGTTTTGTGTATGGGTGCTCAAAATGATGCAACAGTCAACCAGGGAAAAAATACTGTTTTTCAAGGGTCTATTTTAGCACTCAGACTGTGTTTTCCCAACGGCTTGCTCTTACATCTTCTTTGATTTATCCCTGTGTGCCCGTCCCTTTGGTTCTGGAAAATGCCTGGGGTGACCCATTATCATTAATAAATGTCCCCACTGAAAGTGTTTTGGCACAGAAATATAACAGCTGCTCCTGATTACTGTGTCACAGCTCAAAAGTCACTGTCCTTGAGTTGAAAGACTTTAAATAGGTTTGTGTTCATCAATTGTAAAATGAATGCTTTACATTTCTATGCATACATATTCAGACACTGGCTGACTTTTTACTAAACCACAAGCACTCACAGCTGTGTGATGGGTTCTGATAATAGTAGGGATGCTCTCTCATCTGCATATCTTGTGTATAATAGCACACTATATGCAAGGAAAATAAAAAAAAAAACATTTCCACTTGCTTATGCATAGTATATTTGCTGAAGAGGCGGATTCACAAGCTTTGTGTTAACCTTCAGAGAGACATCAGACATGTGGACTTGTGGTTCCTTCACTGCACACCAAAAGGATGTTGAATTATAGAGACATGTCCTCTTACCCTGCTCTGCTCTGTTCTGTCTCTGCTGTCTCAGTCAGTCTCTGGGGCGTCTGATCTACTGTAAGAGTTCACTCAGTTCAACACAAACTGGAGGAGCTACATTGATGTTATTTTTCTATAGCTTTCTGACATGTTTCTGAATCCAGATAACCTTAAACAAAATCGTATGTCATCATTTGTTAAAAGCTTTCCTGAAGCCAGGTTTCCTTTGCATTTGTAGCTCAGCATTTCTATCTTATATATGGACCTGTGGGATTCATGCTTGTGCTGATTACAGCAGTTTGCTTCCTAATTGCATGTTTTCTCCTGGTACGGACAATATGCAAGACAGGTTTTATGTTTTACTACCGAGTTTAACATAGGCTGCTCCTGAATAGGATGAAAAAAAGCTAATTGTGTTCCTCCTATCCTGATTTCATGACACTAAAAGCTGATAACCATTTAAAGTCACATGAAGTAGCCCTCATCATATGGGGACATGAATGCATTATAACAAATTCATCCAGAATTTGTTGACGTATTTCAGTCTGGACGAAAATGGTGAAACGACTGTTTAACAATTTCATCTTTGATTGACACCCACAGCATGACTTAAACATCTTAGCATCTTTCATATATGCCTAGAAAATCAAGACAAATATCTTAGTCAGTCTTTTATTTGTTCAGTTTTACTGTGAGCATCACAGTTTGAGCCCCTTAGCCTAACCCCTAACCCAAACTTCAATGGAACAAACTTTATTTCTTGCCTCCCCTCACATATTTCCTCTCAGAGGTTAGTATGACAGGGGATGTTTTAGAATCACAAACATAAAAGTTCCTTAACAATGCATGATATTGTGCAAAGAATCAAAGTGATCTTAATACAGTTTGTATATAATACAACGAATAAAAGACCAAGACACAATTGGACTTTTTTCACAACAGACTTTATTGTGGTTCTTTTTGAATGTTTGTTCTTAAGTAGTGTTCCCTCTTACATCAGAACTGTATGGGTAGAGGAAATATTGCACACAAACATCAGAAAGCACTAAGGAATACTTTTCGAAACTATTCGCTATAGGTTACATATGAGTTCGGGAAAAGAGGCAGAGAGGATGCAAGATCACAAGACAAATATACCACACAGCTGCAGACAAACATGACTAAAGTTCTCCCAAGAGAAATATAAGGAGAAAAGGCAGAGACAGTAGCCTGAAAGAGAAGTAGAAGAAGTGTAGAGAAAAAAGACAGAGAAAAGAGAAAAGTCCGTTCAAGAGAAATGTCAGTTCAGAGTTTGTAGTTTTGTTGTTGGTCAGGGTGTTGGTTTAAGGTTCCCCTGCAGGAAAACTGGTTTATAGTGAAGTCAGAAACACCTGATATAATTTCAGAGATACCTGGTGAGCTTGTTGAGTTGTTTAAAGAGTCCCAAAGCCTGTTATAATGAAGTTGTGATTTGTTTAACCGGAAGCTGGCCTGTCAGTGTTGATCTGTGGCTTCTGTACTGCAGTTTGGTGTATGTCCTGCTTGTGTTTAAAGTGTCAAGTTTAAGTTTAACATACTCACATCTAAAACACACAAGTCACTTACTCTCTCATCTCTGTGTGCTTCCCCTCTGCTGTTCCCTTTAATCCTGGCTAAAGAGCAAGATCTCTCTTGTAACAGGAAATGTTCAGCCTCCCAAAAGGCTCACATCAACCTGAAAACCTATTCTGTGCGCCATCCAAAGTCAAGTTGTGTATCGATACAGTGCCATTAAAAAATGCAGAGTTGCAGAAGTGTACCATGAGATGATGCAACTTGCCAATATCGTAAAATAATCCTATATAGCCCTGTTGTTCTTAATGCAAGTCTAAGCAAAGAAAAGAGAAAAAAGTACAAATGTTTTATAACTCATGCATGTCTTCCAATCACTCATTTGCCCACAAAGATATTTATAATTTTAATACAGTGCTTTAGAAAAACAAGACATTTTAAGGTTTATGAAATCCTGCCTCCACAATTGGAAAGAGCTAGTTTCCCCACGGTTTAGTGATTACATAAAAACAGATACGAGAAGTAAGTCATGATTTTCTCTCTGTGAAACAACTTAAAATCTGTAAATAAAGCAGACAATGTGAAATAGAAGGCAACCCTCATAAAGCATCGCGAAGAAGACTTTATGGATGTAACAAATGCGAGGGATGGCATTCTGAAACAACTTTTGTTTTGTTAATGTATTAAAGGCAGTCTGGACCATCAAGTACAATGAATTAAAAGAAACAAAATAAATCATTTTCATACACCAGCAGCAACATAAACCAGAGGAAAAGACCCCACAAACATTCATCCATTTTGAATCAAATAAAACCCAGGAAACTTAAAGACAAAAGCAACATTTTTAAAATGGCATGGGCACTTTGAATTGCCCATCAATAAATTCAGACATCATTAAAATTGCTGATGTTGAGTATTCTTTCAAGTTTTTGTTTTTTTTACCATCATTTAACTATGTAACTTTTAATGGGGTTGACGTTTGGAGTGTACAGTTACACTTTTCTGATAGATTCACTAGTTCTTATACATTCATTTTGACTTCCTAAGGCAATAACAGAAAATTTGTTTTTTGTCCTTTGGTGTAGATAACAGCCATTATTTATGAATATACCATAGGAAGAGATATTTCGCTCCTACACAGCCATTAAATTGATTAAAAGCACTCAAATATTTTGTTCTAGGGTGCAGAAGAAACTCAATACAGCAACAACAACAACATAATTACTCAATCTGCATGACCATAGTCATGGACTATAATCTCTAATTTCCTTCAAGTACAATCCATTTATACCTTAAAATAACACCTGGAGGAAGTCAATGATGTTTTATAGAAAACATTGTGTTTTGCATGGCACCCCTCAAAGCGTAGTGTATTAGTTTTGTTTCTCATTGCAGATATTGATTTTTGTGGAAATAGTACACAAGAAGCATAATTTGATCATATAGGTGTTTAAATGGGTTTAATGCTACATGGAAGTGTTTTCTGCCTCAACTAATGATTTGTCTCATTATCAGTCACTAAGCAACCTGATCTCTTGTTGAACAGGCCTACATCTCTATTTTACATGCAGGGAAGGACTCATCCTGCATAACAACAGTGCTGCTGCTGGCCAGGACCATGATGTTGAGCTCCTGCTGCTTGTCGTGGGTCTCCTGGTACCACTCCCTCATCACATCAGTGTCATGGGTAGGGATCAGTGTGGCCTGAGACCAGAAAAAAGGGGAAGTCTCTTAGCTCAAGCATTCATATATTAGAAGTCAAAGGCGAACAATCAAATCTTATTTATTTTTTCTGTCTCCACTTCCCATTTAGGTCATAGAGTTCCGTTAAAAAACTACCAAAGTTTACCTATAGAAATATAAATATGTAAAGTAATTTATGCCAGTTTTTTAAGTTGATGGCATAAAAATGATGTCAGGCTTGTCTGTCACAGAAAACAGACAAACAATCGTACATTTTTAAGATACCAGATGCATGTGGTACTCGGGTAAAACATTTTCTTATATCATTGACAGACTAATAATTGAACCTTACCTGCAAGTTGTTTCCCCACTGGGCTTTTCCTTCAAGCAAAGCATCAAGGACAGCCCTACTGGGCTCTTGAGCTGTCTGATCATTGCCACTGACAACATAGTAAGAGGAGCGAACTCGTTTGAAGAACTCGGCATCCACATTCTTGGCACTGCAATGATTGGGGATGTAAACCAAATCCATGTACATTGGAGGACAATTGGGCAATGCACCACCTGCTACCTTTCCACTGCCAGCACCTGAAAGACAAACAATAGTACCTCTCTGTTTGATAAGTTCTCAAAAACATTAAGTGATTATGTAAAGTATCTTACAGATATAACTAAGGAAAACAGTACTCACTTGATGTGACACTTTTTACACCTCTTGATGCAGAGGTATTGGTTGCATTTTTGGCATCTTTCCCTTCTCCAACACACTTTTTAGGAGAGGAAGTTTTTGAATCCTTCACTTTTGATAAAGCAGTCTTCCGGGCTGGTGAGGAGGACTTTTTCATGAGCTTTTTCTTCTTGGGCTTTTCCCCTCCCTCTGTATTAGCATTGTGGAGGTTTTCTTCTGCCTTGAGGGCCTCTGGGTCTACCATACAGACATCATGGGGGCCTGAGGATGGAGCAGAGTCCCTCAGTGCCACTGGAGGAGGATCGGCATGCCTGTAGGTCAGGGTTCTGTCAGTTGGCAGAGTCTCAGAGTCGTCCTCAGAGTCAATGTTAGCATCTGCTGTAATCGAGGGGCACTCCTCGGTCCCTGGTGGGACATCTGAATCTGTCTGTGAGGGGGCAGATTCACTGATAGATGTGGGTGGGGTCTCCTCACACTGCTTGGCAGAGAGCTTACCTCCTGGAGGTGGGGGCCCTCCTCCAGACTTTGTCAGAGGCTTCTCCTCATCTAAGGCATTCTCCTCATTGATGAAATATTCTATAGGGTTAGGGTTTATGAAAGATGGGGATAGTTCTGTCTTGGGGTGACGGTACTCACATGAAGTTACAAGGCAGAGGTCAACATCTGTCTTGGATGGAGCAGTGGGGCTCTTCTTGGTGAAGGCTGGGTCCCTGGAGCCACAGGCAAAATTGTAATTACACGGATCAGAGGAAAGCGGTAGATATGACGGGGAGGGAACTTTGGGGCTTATGGGCGATTGCGCCTCAAGGGTAGAACCCTCACATTTAAAGGGGTTTGTCTCCTTTGCCGGGGAAAAGGTTTCTTCTTTTGAAAAAGTTAAAGATGATAACGGGGAAGTAGCTTTAGGAGGTGAGGGGGACTTGTCATATTTTAGAGGTGTTGCAGATTTGTCGGAAAGGCTCTCCCCAGGCTGTGAAATTGGGCTGCTGCTATCTTTAGCTGGGGGGCCTCCTAGCACTGGAGATGGCCCACTGGAACAGGGAGAGTGGGGGAGAGAGGACGTCTTTGGGGTGACTGGAGATTTATCAGTCTGCTCGGCCAAGGCATGTGGGATCTCTGTCATTTGACATGGGGTTGTAACAGAGGGAGTAGACTGGGAGGCATCTGATGGGGTTGCAGAAGTTGCAGGAACTGAATCGCTCTCTTCAAAAGGAAAAGATTTCTCAACATATGAACTATGCTCTTCAGATGGTCTTCCATTTGTTCCATCTGAGGGGCTGTAGTCTACCTCAGTTGGTCCATTCTCTGTCGCACGTGAGCTACCTACTGATGGATGCTCTGGTGATTGTTTACTGAAGTCTAGGGCTAAAGAGTGGTCAGGGGAATCCTGGCCAAACTCTATTGACATGGTAGAATGCTCTGGTGATTTTGCGTCCTGCATCTGGGATCTGCCTTTTGTCTTTGGTGAGATGTCTGGGGAGATAGACATGGGTCTTGGACTGTCTTCCTTGGATGGAGATCCCTCAGCCTCATGGAATGTGGTTGGGGTCTGAACAACTGAGACAGACAAGGAGTCATCTACTTCTGTTGAGTGAGGAGAGCCTACCTCAGCATGAAGGGAAGGAGAGTCGGTGGTTGGTTCTGGCAAGGAGCTGGTGGCCAGAGATGCTGTAGATGCTGAGGCTAAATGTGAAAAAGTATCTTCTGCTACCACTTCCTCTATTGGAGTTCCTGACTTGTCTGATGTTGTACCTTCTGAAATGGACATCTTACTCTCTTCTTTGAAAGATGTGAAAGGATTAGTATCTGTTTCATGCTTGTTGATATGTGCTGAAGACAATATTGATTGGTTATTCTCTCCATTTTTCTTCTGATCTATGTCAAAGGGGGACTTTTCTGTCTTTTTCAGATAGTCAGGTTCAGCTGGTGGCAGGCTTCGTGGAGACAACATTACTCTCTCTTCAGGAGAGGAACTTTCATGTTCTGGCTCATAAGGCTCTGGGGTTACTCGATTGGAAGAGGTCTCTTTATCACTTGTGACCTCCACAATTGTTGGTCCTTGCTTTTCTGACACAGGTGGTATGGTTCCTGCCTTTTCATCTACTGGTGACTGATAGTAAGGTGTGTGACCTGATGATTGGGGTGAGTTAGCTCCTTCCAATGTGTTATCATCAGGGCTGACGGCGGAATCAACTGTTGGTTTGCTGCACCCTGAAAGTGTTGTGGACAGTTCAATTGGAGCAGCAAACAGGGATGGAGAATCAAACTTGTCCTTGCGGTCCACTGAGGGAGAACGTACAAGAGGGGATGTTGTGGAGGCTGAACTAAGTTTAGCCAAGTCTGTGTCATACTTATCACATGATTCTTGAGTTGGGGAAAACCCTTTATCTTTCTCCCCCAAGGGAACCTCCTTACAAAATTTGTCCTCTTCTATCGATGAAGTGGGAGATATTGTGGAAGCGGAGTGGTTGTAGTCTTGGCCTTCTGTGGCGCCACTCTGAGAATGATCTGACCCTGGCATATCCTGAAGTGGAGACAGCGTCTTCCTACCAAACTCTCCAGATGCTGATGTTCCAAACTTGCCAACATCCTGTGATGGAGACTCATCATTGGTGATTTCATCACTCATGATATCTCTGGGAGTCAACATTTCATCAATGGGTGTAGGCACACTGGAGACTTCAATGGTGGACTGTGTGTGGCCAGAGTTGACAGTATAATCCTCTTGGGGTTCATCTCTGTTCTCATCATCTGAGGCCACTGAGCTCTCAAAGCCAACTGGAAACATTTCATCATGGATAGATGCAGCTGGAGAAACTGGTGAGGACACTTTGGGTAAGGCTGATACAAAGAGATTAGGCTTCTCTGTTTCTTTGCCAGTTAAATGTAGACTTACATTTTTATTAGTCACATCATCATTGTTTTCTTCATAATCTCCCGGTTTCACGTCATCATGCTTCTCTTGTTGTTTATCTTTACCAGGAGATGGCTCAACTTTTTCTGGCTCCACTCTCTGTGGTTCATAAACTTCTTCTGTCTCCCCCTTCTCTTCATAATCTGCTCCTTCAGATGTCTCTTCCATTACAGTGCCTTCATCTTCAAACTTCTCAATTACACTACCGTTAAGCTTTCCCTTAGGAACTTGTTCATCTGGAGTCTCTCCACTGTCTCCTTCAGCCTCTGTTGTTGTTATACCTTCATCCACAGACTCTATTGTCTCTGGGGACTCTTTGCTTTGCAATATTTCTTCATGGTGGATTATCACAACCTCTTCTTCCTGCTTTTGTTGCACAGCTGCATCATCTTCCACAAACTCTTCACCTTGAAGCTCCTCAAAGTCCTTTGTGAGGTCCTCTGGTGAAGACATCAGGCATCTTTCTGCTTCTGGATCTGCTGTAACATCAGCTGCACTTGTCACAAGTTTACCACTATCTACTTTTGCCACCTTTGATTTCCCTCTCTCTTTTGACTTTGACAGGGTTCCTGCATCTTTCTTAGAGGCAGTGTCTTTTTTAAAGGGCTTTGGTTTTGGGGCACATAGACTCTTTTCTTCACCCATAGCAGATGTCTTTTTTATGTCTCTCATGGGCCTTTTTACATCTTTCTTCTGGTCTTTCTTTTCTTCTTTCTTTTCCTTCATTGGTGAGTCTCTTCTGATATCTTTTTTTACAACTTTCTTTGCCTCTTCTTTTTTTACTTTTTCATCTTTCTTAGCGTCTTGTTTGGGTGTATCCTCCTTCTTTGCCACCTCTTTTTTAATGTCCTTTTTCTTTTCCACAATCACTTTAGTCTCCTTTTTAACTATCTTCTTTTTTTCAGGAGTTTCATTTTTGACTGTTTGCTCAGTCTTTGATTTTGTTTCCTTCTCCGGGGCCTTTGCCTTTTCCTTTTTCAGCACAGGCTTTTCCTTTTTCTCTGTCTTCTGTAATTTTTCGTATGATGATTCTGCATCTGTTTTTGCTTTTTCTGGTACCTCCTCCCTTGATTCCTTCCTTATGCTTTTGCTTGGTGATGGCTTAGGGGTAGACTTGAGGCTTTCTTTGCTCTCTGTTCTGTGTTTCATCTTAGCTTGCTTTAGTGTCGGGGTCGACGGCAAAGAAGAAGCCATTGCTTTCTGAGTGACAACTGGCTGCTTCAAGAAGTCCAAGTGCTTTAATTTTTCTAAACCTTCAAAGATCTGTAGCTGGGTGGTATTTCCAGGAAAGAGAACACGCACAACCTTATCTGAGGGATTTGCAGGATGCCACACAATCAGTGAAGAGATAGACGCCAAATAGGAGACAGGGAATTCTGATTCTTTTCCATTTGGCAGCAGAATAGAAGCAGTGTCTTGTTCACTACCTGTCCACTGCTTCATGAAGTGCTGCATTTCCTTGCTGTTCTTTGATGGATTAAGTACATACATCTCAAGTTTTCCAACACCCATTTTCTGAAAAAGTATGATGGGTTCGATACTGTTTCCAACAGGCCTCTGCAATGGTTCTATCCTCAAATTCAGCTTGGTGAGACACTGCTTTGTGAATGCTGCCTCCTCAAGGTTCTTCCGAACTCTGTAATTGGGCTCAGGGTTATCCAGGTTTTCAGGAAGATTCACAAAGACAACACCAATATCTGGAGAAATCATGTTCTTCACCCAGTCACTGTTAGCTGTCGAACCCTGTGACTGTTCCTCTTCAAGCTCTGCCACCTTCCTTTGCAGCATGCTATTAATTCCTGACAGGTTGTCGTATCCAATGTGTGTCAGGAGGATGGAATCCACCCTGTCTAAGTGTCTCACCAATTTCCAGAAGCAAGACTTCCTGTCTGAGCCACCATTGATGAGCATGTTGAAGCCATTGACAGCAAAGAGAGCAGAGTCACCATGACCAGCAGGGAAAATGTAGCAGCATGGTTTAGAGAGTTTGAGGAAACCACCTGAGGTGGGTGGTTCCAACATGTCAAAGGGAGATGGGATCTCTACAGATTCGGATAAATATTCAGTGAACTCTGAGAGCCCCTCCATTTCAGGCAGTATAAGAGTGGAGTTTAATTTCATGTTGATGAAGTCCTGCAGGTTGTGTTTGTCCAAGTTTGAGTTTTTCCAGTCGCCTTGTTCCGGGCAGGAGAGTGTAAGGTTGGCTTTGTTTGCTGGGTGAATGGTGCTCAGCAATTCACCAATCTGTGCATGGGAAAAATCAAGGGACTTTAATTTGTAACATCTTATAGTCCATCATAACGCAATAATTTTTTTTCAATTTACAGTTTTACAGTTTGTGTTTCTATATGTATGCATATGGACATAAGCATAGTCTTTGTATATCATATATTTATTAAAAAGTTCAAAATCAAAATGCATACATTTTTGAAAGCCATCCATTAATGTTAACATAAATCAACCAAAGCAGAGGATTAAACTTTTTCATGGCAGAAAAAGTATCACTGACCACAAGTTAAAGTGTGATATGGAAATATCATGGCTTATTTTTAATTTTTTGTTTTTGAAACAGATAAATAATTTTGGCTCACCTCTTGGTCGGTAAATATGTCAATGAAGTTAAAGAAAGAGAAAGATCCAGACTGAAGAATCAGTTCTCCAGTGTTTTCAGAGCATTGCCCTGAGAGAACCAGAAGCTTGTGTCTTGCAGTGTCTGAGATCATCAATCGAGCCTGGAAATTAAAGAATTATAAAAACATTTATTTTTAGTTCACCATTGACTTTGGAGGAACACAATTTAACCAAGAGAACAGAAATGGTTTATTCAAAGCATTGCTGTTGCAGGAACCAGCTTAATGATTTAGTGAATTTGCAGTTTCACCAGTTTTACTTCACTCACATCCATTAGCTAATTAGCAGACTTGTTCTCTTTCCTGCCACTCTGCAAAATCCTTCCCCCTATCTCTTGCTTCTAGAAATAATTTCTACTGCAGCAACATCAGCTGTATTAGCAGCTGGCCAGGTCAGTCCTGTTGTGCCCTGAAATATTATTAAAGCACAGTTTGACTACAGACATAGCTGCGGGGTAAAGACAACCCTGAATAGGAGCAGTGACACAAGGCAAAATTTTGTGTCATCTGTGTTCCTGACCCTGCAATGACTTTCCTCCCTACTAAGCTCAGCAAAAGCTCTACTACATTACTAAAGGAACACGTCTACACTTCTTTTTCTGAGACATTAGTGAAGTCCCTTGAGCTCCTAATCACTCCTATTTTTTTATGCGAACCAGGAGCAACAAGCAGCCATTCATATTAAGCTGAAGCATAATTGGCCAACTATGGTGGATGGGCCATTGCTGAATAATGACCCCTTTCAAGCTGTAATTGCTTTGTAAATGTACACTTTAATGGATGTGTGGATTATCCCTCCTATATAAGAGGATGTTACATGAAATAGCATGTTGGAGAAAGAACGAGTAGGATGTTACAACAGTATAACAGACTATCAACAACAATTATATCTGATATTACCTCGGTACTGACGGCTTCATCCGAAGGGTTGATAAGCACTACTGTCTCCAGCACATTGCTTTTATGATGAAGAATTCTCTGCCCTTAAAAGAAAAAAAGAAAACAGTTGCATATGAACAACTAGTTTCAAGGTTATCTTATTTAATCACGGCAACAAATTGCCTTTCAACAATGATGATCTGCTTTGCCTTATTTTATCGGAAAATAAATTCCTTTTTTTATGATGGTGGTTGGTACGAGAAAAACTTTGCGACAATTTGTATTTTTTATAATTATTCCTTATGAATCTTCCCTTCTCTGGAGTATAGGTTCACAGGGATGGTGACAGGGCTCAGCTAATTTAACATCTCATTCGTCTTACACAGTCACTCTGACAGCTCCAACATAGCTGTGTAAATGTTAATTGCCTCTACTGAGTAGAGCTATTTATCCTTAAGATGGATGAGAGCTTTAGAGATAAGAGGTATAACACACCTCTCAAACCCTAAATCCCAATCCTTAAAATAAAACCTGTTTAAGCATAAAATGACAAAGTGTTAATGGGGCGGTTTGGGGGTTAGAGTTGGAGTTAGACCTGTTAAAAATCGTGTTTTAGCATAAGATGACTCTAGGGTTTAGAGTTGAGTTAGGGTTTAGGGTTACCTTGGGGTATTGTGGTTTGTTAGGGTTAGTTTAGTGTTATGGCTGGTAGAATTAGGGCTAAGTTATGGTAGTGGTGGTGGTGGTGGGGTTATGGTAGGGTTAGTTCTGTCTGGCCAGTAGTTCAAAACCTGAAGATATGCAATTTATTATAACAGAAGAAGACAACAAGCTAATGTTCATGACAAGTTTGATGGGAGGAATTATTTGCAGCTTTGCTATGACAATATTTGAAATGAACAAATACTGATGATCATCTATAAGTAAATGCCACATTCTGACTGCTGATCACTCAATTAATCATTTCAGCTCAACTTGACCTCACTGGTTCAGCCTCTAGAGGCTGATACAGACAAAAGACCCAATAACTCTTACTTCTGTCTGTACAGTGGGGTATATGCTTTATTATACCACACTGCTGTAATGATATTTCCCTTTCATGAGAGAGCTGTAACATAGAAAATAAATAGCAGGTTGTGGCAGGAACATGATCAATAACCCTAGGTTTTGGATGATTGATGGTGATAATGATACTGATCCCACTGTGGGTGTGTCTTTGTGTACAAAGGGGTAACCTTCTTGTCCAACTGATGACACATGGGCAGGAGATCTCCTGCATCATAATTAAGCCCACTCAATCCCACATTCTGTCTTTGTTTCTTCACCTTGTTATCTCTTTTCTCTCTAAATATATTAGGAATCCAGATTTAAGGTAAAAAACAAATGCAAGGTAAAAATCAAAGGCAATGTTTCAACCAGAATAAAACAAAACCAGAATAAACTTTGCTTTAACCCTGTGCACTGCCTGTCAGCGCCTGAGTCCAATCAGACTAAAAGCTGTTTGTTTGCACTTACTGATGTTGTATCCTCCTCTCTAGATCCTTGCTTGTGTGGTACTTACTCTCTGATGTACGTCGCTTTGGACAAAAGCGTCTGTTAAACGAATTGTAGAAAAATAAAATGATTTTAGAATTGTAGAGTATGTTCCTTGTAGGTTTTAAAGGGCAGCAAGGTGTTGTATGAATATAATCTTTGAATTCAGAACCATCCTTTTGAAGACAGACTGTTCCTCGTCCCTTGGGATGTGATTCTGCAGCGCACATCTAGCTGCTGGGACAATTACTCCATACATATTTCATATAGCAGATTCTCATAAAAGATCTCTATAGCCATTAACCCCGCCTTCTTCTCCCAGAGGGCTGTCACTCCATATGGAAAAAGTCTTTCAATCATTGCTGTTAATAGTGAAGTGGCTTCTATACAGCCTTTAATATTCTGTGGAGTGCATGGAAGGTAGAAATAATGACTCTTGCTTTGGTTATTTCCCAGCAATTTAAAAACCCTTTAGTGTGGAATGAGCTGTCTGATGTCTGGAGGGAAGTGAAAGGGCATTTTTTTCAGTTTCCTTTCTGCAATTTTTTCTACTATTTTATTTTTCTATAAGATCGCAACATAAATGTATTAATTGATGAACGACTTGAAGCTGCCATACATTTTCAAGAAAGACTATATACTGAGGAAAAGCATGCTAGAAAAACACCTGAGTGAGTTAGGATGTATGTTATATTTTGTTGGTTTAGAATAAAATGTTAAATTACTGTCACATGCAAAATAGATATGCCCCTATTTAGCCTGTAAGCTTGTATTTTTTTAAATTTAAATACATACAGACAGGTATGCCTGTCAAATGATGATGTCGATTATATTTATTTACTTGTTTCCTATGCAAGCTGTGCCAAGATTTCTTCACAATAATTTGTGTGTTCCAATGGATAGTAATGTTTCTCTATCAAAAGTTTATTATGTGTATATATACATATATATATTTGACTTTTTATGACTTTATTGGAGAGACAGGACAGTGGATAAATTTGGAAATTTGGGATAGAGAGAGTGGGGAATGACATGCTGGAAATGAGCCACATGTTGGATTCGAACCCAGGACCCCTGCATTTGAGGGCTTTAACCTCTGTTCATGGGGCATGCGCACTAACGGCTAGGCTACCTGCACCCCCAATTAGGAAAGTATCTTGATATCTATTAAATGAATTCCCCTGAAATCTCATTAAAACACTCCTGATACCCCGTGGATAAAAATATAAATTATTGAACCTCTCCTAACCTAGCAAAACCCCCCTAAGCCTGTTGCTGACACATGAACTAGGTTAGGAAATTTTCACTGAGAATTACTTAAACTACAGGATGTTTGCACATTTGAGTCGGTCTTAAACCATCATCACAAAATCCCTGTTGACTATTAGAGAAACTAGCTTCACTCAGTTCTGTTCTGAGGAGAGAGCATCCTAAACTGATGAACAGAGCTCCTTAAAGACTGACAACGACTTCCAAAGGGGAAGGTTTTCACTGGTCTGTGAAATGAGAGAACAATCAGTCTTGGAAGTCTATTTGTCATCATGTAAAAGCCACTGTACACGAACCATGTCTGGAACTGCTAATCTAATAGAAAAGCCTTTTTTTTTCTTTGTTTGCCTCAGCGCATGTTACACCGGCATTTCATGCGCTGAAACAGAGAATACAGTAAAGAGTTAAGGACCAGTGAGGCTTGGTGTAGTCAGCATAACCATCACTACCACCACCCCCATGCCAAATTGCCTCGCGTCTCGGCCAATTCGTCAAAAAAAACAGATTGTTCACTGGAGCTTGATCGACCCTGACAATTACCTTGATCAATATAAAAATCCTCACCTCCCAGCGTGCCTCTGTCTCAGCAGGAGGCAAGGTAATGTGAAATGCATCATTGAGCATTCTCCTTTTGGCTGAATAGAAAGTGCAAGACTGGTATAGCCTGTCTGCCACGGACTGAGCCAGACAGGGGAACATCAATGAGGATGGCACCACACCAAAAATAGATCAGTGGAATCACTAAATTCAGTGTCTCCTTTTTCTTTTGCAATCTAAAGGCACACTGCACTTAGGGATTATAATTGTATCAGCTCAGGTGGATTTCCTGAATGTGTCAGCACATTTCACCTTGCTGTCCTTTCATTTTCCACTTTAACGTAATAATTGGTCGCGATGACTTTCAGAAGCAGAGATTGGGGCTCCCCTGAGCACAGTTTCAATGTCACCCTAACCCTTACTTCAGCATCCCCACACTGGATTAAAAGTAGTCTACGCAATATGTCTGGACATAGAGCTAATCAGACTGTTAAGCCAGCTGAGTCACAGAACTGTCAATCACTTGTTTTGTAGCTTCAATGCCTCTAAATAACATTCAGTTGTAAGCTCCTTAACATACATTATATTTAGGATTATGCCAAAAATAATGACAACCTGGCAGTCAGAAGAAAGTAATTATTACATTCACACCCTAAAATATTGTTTTTCTGTAATAACTAGAATGGCAATTACAGTCATTTTGAATGCTTACATCAATCATTCATTTATTCAACCTTTATTTAAAACCCGAAAGTCATTGAGGTCATACCGAGTTGTGGATTACATCAAAACAGAATACATACAGTATGCACCAACAGAATAAATACAAATAATGGAAACAGTTTCATTCAAAGGCATAGTTTTAAATTGGCCCAAAGGAACAAGTGTTTTAAGTTTGACCAACTTATTTAGTTGCAAGTTTTAAAATCAAAATGATTGCCTTGATAGGGCCATTGTATATCTATAGTATGTCTTCCCAGCACCTTTTTCTTTTCCAATTCACGAGGAGTGATGCTTACTGGTAGATGTTTGTTTGACTAATTAATCTGATGATTTATAGCTACAGAAATGTCCAGTCAGGATAAATAAGATAAAAAAATTAGAGAGTTAACACAGTTCTTTATTACAATTGATCAGTGAATAGCTTTGTGTTTTTAGGACGGCTTTTTGACTCTCTGTTTGCTTTTTCAGGAGTGCCTGTACTTAATTCTGATTCCTGGAAAATCCATATGTAACCAGCAGTATCATATATCCATCAGGGAGACACAGGGGGGCTAAAGCCTCACCCCTTATTTCCTCCCCTTCTTCTCCTCTCTGTGGGCTCCAGGCTTCCTGCACATGATGGCAGTTTGATGGACGTCATGTAATCTATCAAGCAGACAGATAATTGTATTTGTCCTCCAACGAGACACCACCAGCAGGTTTGTGTTTCCTTTGAGCACTGAGCTCTGACAATGAAGGCAGTAGAGGCTAATAGGTACACATTCAGAAAAACTAAGCTTATAAAGATATTTCAGGATTTTTTCTTTACCATAACTGTAGTTCAAGTTATGTCTTACATAAAGGCACCACAGACTGCCCCCTTTTCATTCTGACAAGGTTATCTCATTATGTGATTAAGGTTTTGTGCAATTTTACAAATAGCAGGAAATATCAGGGTTAATAACTGACTTTGCCTTCTTTGTGTGTGTAAGGTGAGAAGGTTGATACCCTACACTTATGTATTTCTAAATAAATACAGGGCTACAGCCGGGGGCTAGTAAGCCTAGCTTAGCATAAAGACTTGACACACAGAGTAACATCCAGTTAGGCTCTGATCTGAAGGCAATAACAAAAAAACTCCAGATGCAATATCTTATTAAAACCTCTGTCAATACTAAAATAAATGATTGCTCCTGGAAAACAAAAGAAAACAAACAAACAAAAGTTATTGTGTAAGTAAGTGAGTGGGTAGGATGGAGTAGGGTTCTTCAGGCAGACCTCGGCTAGCTCTTAACCCAATTTTCACTATTTAGCGGCTTCCTTTAGATTCATATTCAGATTCTATATTGCACATAGACATAAAGATGGTTTAGATTTGCATCTTACAAAAACAAGCAATTAGGCATTTTTCCCAAAATGATCAACGTCTCCTAAACAAGGTTTATTCTTTTTAACATGGCATTTCTAATAATGAAATATTTTTTTGCAGAGGACCTGTTTTCAAGGGACACAAAAGTCTGTCAATGTCAAGCTAAATATTGTAGTTTTCTAGGAACCCCTTCATAAAGTAGGTAATCAAATAGAGTACATGGTAAAAAGCTAAAAGCCAATTGGAATCCTTCCCTTGAGAAAGAGACTTAGCAAAAAGCCAGAGGCATAAAACTTTAAAAGGCAACATAATTCAGTGTAACTGATTATGCAGCTTCAATTCTCAGTCTTTATTTCATTAATTCACGGTTCAGATGTGTCACTTTTTTTTTGCCTCTTATCTACCCAGTTCTCATTTATGTCTCTCCTGCGTCAACCTCCTTCCTCCTTTGCTCCCTTGTTTGCTTTCTCAGTCTTGCCCCTCACCCTCTCTGTTCCCCAGGTCCTCTGTTTCTCCTTCCTTCTTTATTTTCATGGACATTTGCCACAAGGGATTTAACCGTGCTAATTACTCTCGAATCAACTGTGCATCTCGAACTGGGTTGCAAGGCAACAGTGCACAAGGAAGAAAAAGAGAAGAATGGAGGGTGGGAAGATCTGATGGTTAAAAAAAAACAAGGCAGAGGACAAAAGAGTGTCGAGGATTGTCTCTTTACATCGCCATGTATAACATCCATCTCAAGCAATTATAATTCCCCTCTGTAAGCCCAATTTTGTGGTTTAATATATGCTTTAAAATAAGCCATCAGATTTAGTGTGCATTTGGTCGGCTGGATCCATCTATTGTGCAGCATGGAGCCCTGCTGGTCAGTTCAATATGGAGCCGAGCCAAGCAGGGCCTGTAACTGCTGTTGACCGCCAAGGCCGTTCTGCCCACTGACGGCCCACATGTCCTGCCACACTGGATCTGTTACATCTTTATGGAGCTGCTCCCTTACCTTGCAAATAATACAGCTATAAGAGCTCCATGCAGCAAGACACTGAGAGGGCGGATCCAAGGAGAGGTAATAAAACCCCTCTGCTTAGTGTGCTGCACAGGAGTTATAGCTGACAGTGTCGAGACACTGATAAAAGGTGCAGTGGTATGCAAGTATATCAAGTCAGGTGTCGTGTTTAAGCAGAGATTTAAGGTAATTATATTTGTTTTTGGATAAATGCAGAAACAGGTTTTTATTAAAATATGTATTCAAGAAAATCATTGTTTTAAGATTTTAAAAAAATTGTCACATTTAACTGGAAATTGAGCATTATGTTCTTTAAGTCAAATGAACAATTGAGAGTATCTCAACAAGTCAAAATGTCACATTTCCTCTCATTTCAAAATATGAACATAATAATTAATAAATAGCTTTATTATTATATTGATTTTTATTATTATTATTATTGATTTAATATTATCATTGATAATAATCAGGTAGTTAGGCAATACTGTTTTCTACATAATGACTTTGACTTAATTATTGTGTTTTTATTGGGCTATAAACACTTATGTATGTACTCAGATTTTGCACTGAAACGGTTGGAACCATATAAATCACTCTTTTAGTGTGACAGTATCATAGAAAATGTCTTTTACTTCAACGTTACCTCTGACATCTGCAGAGAAGCGGGCTGAGTGTCTGGAGACAAACAGCTTGAGTTCCTGGTCCAGGTTGCAGTCTATGAGGTTTGTGTCCCATGAGCGAATCCCTGCAAGAAAAACGGACACAGACACAACATAAACTCAACAGGAAATTTGAAAAAGGCCGCAAAACACACTGGGGAGGAAGAACATATGTTTTCTCGGCTGTCGAATGAATCGATGCACACAACAGGCGTTACACCCCCTCACAACACACATACACACAAACATCTATTCAAGTGATCCTCTGCCTCCAGTTCATTGACAAACTTTTAGGGGCAACATGTATGGACTTGTTACCGGATTGGCAAGGGACAACAAATCTATAATAGGAAATATCTATAGCCCAGTTTCGGTTTTGGCAATAACGACCAGACACTCTGGTACCCTCCATTCAGCACATGGTGGCAACATCCTGTCTTTATGTGCAGAGTAAAGGTCAATTGAAGGCCTCAGGTGATGACACTAACTGGGAATAGAGACAAAATAACAAAGAATATAATGTTTGTTTTTTTAAAGTTGCAAAGGCGGATGTCTGTAGAATTGAATTTAACTTTAAGTTTTCTGTCAAAAGGGTTTTTAAGCCTGCGAGATTAAACTGAAAACAAAAGGTGTGGCAATGCAAACCATGTTAGGACCGTTGATGACAACAGTTAAAAGTTCATTTTTCTTTGACTCATCATCGCAGAATTACTGATCATTAAAGACAGACAAAAATGATCCTTATGCATAGATATATCATATACTTGCGTTGTTGGGAATCCCTTTACAAACATTTAGTTAAAATAAATGCTTTGTGGATAAGATATTGTTAAAGGCGCATTATGCCATAAAAACATGACGATACAAATTAGGAGATTATGAAATGTGGTATACTCTATACATTCCTTTATGAATGGAATAACTTAAAGTATTCAGGAAAAAACACTACAATCCTACAAAGAGTATAGGCAATTCCTGCTGAGGAAAACTTTGTGATGAAACCAAAAGCTTCAGAAATCTGTTTAAGGGCAGTCTGTTTTCACACTTTCAAGGTCAAAGGTGAACTTTCAGCCTAAGGCCTGAACTGTAATAATAGCCTGATCAAACTAAATAGTAGACTAAATACATTTTTTGTCAACTCTTAGGAAGTTAAAGCTATCTTAATAGCTGAAACCTGAAAATGAAACGATTTAAAAGGAACAATTTCATGTCTTTCAAACAGCGTTGTTTACACACCTACACTCAAACTGCGCCATATTCTCCTCCTTCCTCCCCTCTCCTCCCCCTCACACACAAAATCATCTGGCCACCACACATACAGCAGCTGTAGCATTTCTAAACCGCCCTTCTGCTCTGCTGAAAATCGTTCCTTGTGGCTTTCCGTAGGGACCGCAGTGCGGACAGAGCCACGCCCACAAGCCGGTGAGGGATGAGAGAGCTGGATGCGGAGTGATGATGGAGAGATGTTCTCACGCGATTAAGTGGACAATTATTCCATTGTCACAGACAATCAGTCTTTTTTAGAAAAACACAGATCGCATTTAGTTCAGCGAGTAAAACAAGCTTTCTTAAAATACAAACACTGAAAGCTGCTATTAACCCCGTCCGTCTTTTCCCGAATGTAAACTGCTGCCCTCCTCTCTTCTGAAACAAAAGCCTGACGCACCTGAATAAAGCTTTTGGCAAGGTGCTGTAGGAGGGAAAACGCGCAGTTGTACGGGAACCGAAGACATAATTGACCCTGCATTAGACTGACGCATAGAGCAGATTTACTGCTGAATCACTGCAGACAGAAGCGTCCGAGGAGCTGGCCCACGTGTGTGGATGACAACAATTCGGCCTTGTAACATTAATATGACAGAGAAAACAATAAAACTGAGCTACAGTGATTTTAAACACAGTGGATGAGTGGGAAAGGCACCTGTGGATGAAAAGATGATTTGAAGACTTGATTTGGCGAAATATTCTGAGGATGTCACAGGGAGGGGCTGTTTGATATCCCTATTATAACAACATCAACTTAAGTTCAAATAGTGAGCACATACATTAGGTTTCGTTGACACTAACGAACCACTTATTTGCGTTAATTCTGCGTTAATTTTTCAATGCGTAAAATCCGGCGTTTACAAACAAAGGCACCCTTGTTTTTAAAGATACAACCCCAACTTTAAAGCTATAACGCTGGGAAGATGTTATCAATGTTTTTTTTTTTTAAGTTCAGCTATTAGTGGCCTACACCCACCTCTCCAAGCCCCATCTTACCTTTCTCTATGTCCGCAATGGCACACTTCAGGTGATCCTCAGATGCCATCTCCCCGATCACAACCAGCAGGTAAAATTTGCTGTCGTTAAAGTGCTGCGAGGGGCTTGAGGAGCTCGGAGATGCCCCGGTGTTGCTTTGGCCACCTAAAGTCTCCATTTCTGCGGATTCTACCAGGGTAGCCATCCTCTCCTCTCTTCCGTATCTCTATCTCTCTCTCTTGTATCTCCCGTGCGCACGCCGGATCCTAACAACAACAGCAGCAGCAGCAGCCTCCTCCCTTTATTCGCTACTGCAGAGCACTGAAGTGGTCTCCAGACAGACAAGTGGAGCGTGCATAGGAGTGGCCCTGGCTTTTTATACCGGCAGACATTGTGTCATGTTCGGTAACCGGGGAGAGAAGAGGGCGCCGGGTGTTTTTTTCGCACACTCATTCCACAGCTGATGTCATCCGCAACGAATCAAACGCCTCCGGAAGTCAAGCAGATTTGATCTTTTGTGTTTGTCATATTCATCATTACCTGTACCACTTAGGATTTTTTTGCACTCTAACAACTAGGCAAACTTTTATTACAGACTGAGATTTTGAGAAGAATTTGTTGGTTTTAAGAAGCATTCGAGGATCTGTATCTCTGCACAGGAATGACTATGATCCTGCGGTTTCTTTTCACTATTCTATTTTCAATTTAAAAAAATCTTTTTTAAGGAGCAAAGCCTTTGGGGCCTTGCTTATAATGCGTTCTGCAAAATTGTACTAAATATATATGTATAAAATATAGGCTTTATAAATACTGACTCACTTCAATCGATAAAATCTTTACTAAAAGAACTTAAAAAATAGTAACTCGGTGGTTTTTTGTTGCTTTATGAGACCTCAAAGTGTAATAAAATATTCCCTTTTTGTTTTGTTCTGGTTTAAGTGATGACTAATACTATTGAGTTGCATTATGGGAAATGTAGGTACCGTCTATGTTTGCTTGAGCTTTGTAATCAGGGCTTCCATGCCCCTGCTCCTTTTACTTTTACGACTGTGTTTTGTAATCTGTTTTTCCTAATTTTATGCAGTACTTAATAACACTTCATCTTTTAGTGCTCTATTTTCCTTTTTTACCCCCATTTGTGTTTGGTATTATACAAGGGATTAAGCTCAGTTTTATGAGGACATACTGTTTGAGAGGGATGATGCTTCCACTATCAGGACAGAGGAAAATTGTTTGTGTACAACTACAATCTCTGGTGTGATGATTGTTTTTTTCCCCTCTTAATAACATATGAGGACACTAGAAACACAGTTCATAGCACAGGAGGTTTAGTCTATTTCTGGGTGAAGCTGTTTTCATTTTTCTCTTTTTGACAAGCTACAGTTTTGTGCAGTGTCATTGAGTCACAAAAAGTAATATATGGTGCCGTTAAATATATTTATTATTACAGTAATAGAGATGAAGAGGATTTTTCTGGAACAAACTTCCCCAACTGGGTGAAGGTGCATGAAGAGTGAAAGGTTTAGAAGAGGTCAAAATGCTCGAGCAACACTTGTAGTAAGAAGGTGAATTTATTAACAATTTAGACCGACGCGTTTCGGCTCGTGGCCTTCATCAGGGTCATCAAGAAACAGATTAACAAACATCATTTAAATAGGGTGGGTACACAATTGAAGGAAAGGAAAACAAATTCAGAGCAGGTTGCTTACTTAGTGATTGCTGGATATCACTGAAAGCTGCCACTGCCTCCTCTGTCCACTGGATCTGATTGGGACTCCGGGATCTAGTCAAGTCTGTGAGTAGAGCTGCCGTGTGTTTTGTTAAATTTATTATTTTCAATAGGTATACAGAGGAGGAGATATAGCGATATCTGGTTTAATTGTCTGCTTTGTGTATTTTCTCTAGAAGATAGCCGTTGCTGTCCGTCTTTTCAATCTTTTGCATTGTGGGAAACAGTCAGTGAGAAGACTGGTCTGATGATCTACTGAATTTTTGGCCAGAGAAATCAGTACGTACTCAAGTAGATGTTTCAAAACAGTCTGAGAATTTGTTGAACCTTCTTTCTGATACGGGTCCCTGACAGATAGCAAACAGTGAGTCAGAGACGAGACGAACTTACTGAGATGACCAAAGTGAAGCAGCAGGATGGTTCGATAACTCTGATGATCAAAACAGGACAATTGTCTTATCAGCAACAACAAACTACAGTTTGAACCACTGGAGGAGGAGAGACTGGGATCTGCCTGTACCTGAAAAAAAACAAAAACATTTCCACAATTTCAAATCAGCACACTAGTGTTCACATTGATTGATTGGACTTTATTGTCAGACAAAGTCTGAGTCCCTACAAACCAAAGCTTGGAATTTGGAGAGGAGCCATGTCACTTCCTGAGTACTGCCAAGGTGCCTCTGAGCAAGGCATCAACCCTCCCAACAGCTCTGGCACGCTCTCTGTGTATCAGCCCAACTCTGACACATCTCCATTAATGCATGTCCATAGATCCTGTTTGTGCATGTGTGTAATTCAGTCCTATCTGTGTGAGAAGCATGTCTCTCAGTCACACAGGGGGATTAATAGAGTATGCAAAAGTAAAAACAAATAGGAAATGAAACATTTGTGTGTAACATTGTATTGCACTACAGTAGTATTTTTTGAAACTCAAAAGGGAAAAGATGCCCCATAAAGTCTCACTACGACTCATGGAAATATTGACATGCATTACCTCAGCGGCAGTGGAGGTTTTGACCAGTGTGTCCAGCTGGTACAAGCTGCTCCCATTCTCTTACCTTGACACAACGCCAGAGATAGATACATGGAAAGAAATGTCAATCACAATTTTTGTAAAGTAGTTCGCACAAGTGTCCAGGAAGGTGGTAGAAAGGCAACTCAGCAGATGAAATGTTTCCAAGAGGTGAGTATTTATTTACAGTGATTAAACCAACACGTATTAACTTAACAAAACAACAAAAGTTCAATATAAATAAGGCAACTTAATTCATAATTAAATCAGATAAGAAACATGTTAAAGCACATCCTCACCTCTCCTCAATCAAGAACAAATGTCCCCTGGCTTTATTGAAGGCCCCATCAACAAAATGGCAGACGTTTTGTTAACTTAAAGATTTAAGTACAGCTGACTTGATGTCAAGTTTATTTGACTAGAAAATTGTATTTCTTTGAAATAATCACAAATTTATCTCAACTTATCTTTTTAAGTTCAGTTAACTTAAAATTTTAAAGCGGACACTAACTTTTTTAAGTTATAACAACTAGTTTTTTTTTACAGTGTAGAAATAAAGCAATTATTTTTTTACTTTAGGAATGTTTCAGAGTAACAACATTCAGAGTTAATCATGGACAATAAATTTGGTCAAAAACTGCAGCATATTGTTACAATGTTGACATTTAAATTCTCAGATGTTTGGTATTTTTTGGTTCTTTAGTTTTGGATTTGACAACATACATTATATAGTTGATTGAACTTCAGAAATGCCTTTTTTCTAGAAATCACTATAACTAATTAAACACATAACAATGGAAATGAACCCAGGTATTGTCTGATCTAGGTTATTTCTGATACAAATACCCCCATACGCATCAAGTGATTGGCGAAATAAAGGCAATAAATGTCTGATTGCATCCATCTTTGATCTTATTCAGGTTCTTCCCTTGCAGTTTCAAGAGATTCACTTGGGAATAAAAACTCTTTAAATGTGGAAGACTTGCAACTAGCCAAAAGTAAGCCTTCATATGAAAGGAATCTCAAATCAAAGGAGGGTTAAAGGCAGATAGCAAATGAAAAGAAATCACAGGTTTTCCAGTCTCATATTTTATCAGAGAGGAAGCAATGCGTTTGTGAACATGTGTAATGCACGTGTCGATGATAAATGTGGTTGGCAGCGCATAATAAGGAATTCTATCTGGTGATATGAACATTACAGGGGCTCAGTTTTTTTCCCCTGGAGGATAATCTGAAGCAGCAGCTGAAACTTTGGCCTCTGTGGAAAAAAGAGACTTCAGATTTGGAGCTTACACAAAATTCACAGCAATAGATAGTCACAGAAGGCTGCACAAAAAAGACACACACAGATGGATATCCTGACATCCATGCAGGATCTTCCTCTGGGAAACCCCATTGATGTGATTCAGTCTCATGCACAGGCTAGGTGCAGGTGTGTTACTGACTTTAAAAGGACTAAAGGAGTCCACTCAACAGTCCCTGGATGTGAATTTTTCAGGCCCTCTGCGTCCTGGTGGGCTGATCCCGGTCTGATTCACCTAAGGCCATGAGAGGTCGAATCAAACATTCATCACACACAGCTGGGAAAGAAGGGAGGCATTAAAAATACAACAGGCTGCCACCAAAAGTCTCCCTTAACAGACAAGATGGGATGTGTGTTTGGGGTGGGTGGGTGTGTGTGTGTGTGTGTGTGTGTGTGTGTGTGTGTGTGTGTGTGTGTGTGTGTGTGTGTGTGTGTGTGTTCTTTTTAGGGGGATTGATGGGTTAGACCACTATAGGATTTGGCCTGCACACACACAGTATATTTGTGTGTTTGTGTGTCTGCATGAGGAGAGCTCTTCAAAAATGAACATGGAAGGATTTTAATAATTCAGAGACCCTAAACCCTTCTGGGTCTTGCAAAACATCAAATCCTGTCCAGCCTCAGGTCACTTAAAAAACAACAAAGAAGAGAGACACACTATGTGAAGGACTCTGGGGGAGTCTCCAGACCAAAGACATTAATTCAAGAAAGAAACAAAAAAGAAATGTATAGACTAATATAGGGCAATACATGTGAACACACGTGTAAATGCAGCAGTTGCTGACAACATAAATGGAAACACCTCACTAAACAATCATTCTAACCCTCTATATGAGTTTCACACTAATGCCTGTGTTTGGAAATGCTGCCATGATTGTTTAGTTCTGTCGATGTTTTTGGACATGCACCTGTTCTGTCTGGACTTTCTTTGTTATCTCATGTTGCTTTGAAAATCAGATTTCAAAGTGATGCTTGCCTTACAGCTGGTAAAGGATGCTAATTAGCATTCAATGTAATCTGACAAACCTTGACAGCAGTGTTTTTCCTTCTGATTAAGGTGAAAACCGTAAAATGTGGATATGTTTTATTTCTCTTCTGCTCCTCAGGGTTTTTGGTCTTTTCGTAGCACTGAAAAACCTGCCCATCAAAGAAAGCCAAGCAATCACTTTCTGTCAAAGCAGTTCAGCTTTTTAATCTACCTAGGAGTGAGTTTTATGTTTAATAAAATTGACATCTTACAAAGGGGCGTGGATTGAGGATTTGTACAAGTCCTGACCTTTTAATTGTTTTTTTTTCACTCATTTATGGTTTCCCACAGGGATCCATTTTAGGTCCTCTTTGATTTTCTAGAAATCCTCAAATAAGATGAGTTAAGCGCCTTTT